TGGTCGACTGGATTATGAAGACTTCGACATCTGAGGGAAAACACGGAATGCAATGGATAGCTCAGAACCAATTAGACGGTTTGGACTTCGCAGATGACCTAGCCTTCCTGTCGCATACACACGAACAAATGCAGATAAAGACAGCCAGTGTAGCAGCAGTCTCTGCATCAGTAGGCTTCAACATACACAAAGCGAAAACCAAGGTCCGCAAATTCGAAACGAAGAACAGCAATCCAATCACTCTTGATGGGGAAACTCTGGAAGATGTAGAGTCCTTCACATACCTAGGAAGCATCATCGATGAACAAGGAGGTTCAGATGCACACGTAAAGGCGAGGATTGGCAAACCAAGGACAGCATTTCTGCAATTGAAGAACATATGGAACTCAAAACAACTGTCAACCAATATGAAAGTGAGAATCTTTAATACGAACGTCAAGATAGTCCTACTGTATGGACGTGAAACTTCGAGAACTATCACAACTACCTTCAAAAAGGTACAAGTATTCATCAACAGTTGTCTACACAAGATATTCAATGTTCGTTGACCGGATACCATTAGCAACAGCCTTCTCTGGGAGACAACAAACCAGCTTCCAGCTGAAGAAGAAATTAGGAAAAGACAATGGAAGTGGGTAGGACATACACTATGCAAATCGTCAAACTGCATCACAAGACAAGCACTAACTTGGAATCCTGAAGGAAGGCGAAAAAGTGGAAAGCCAAAGAACACATTACGTCGAGAAATAGGAGCAGATATGAAAAAGATGAATAACAACTGGAAGGAGCTGGAACGGATTGCCCAGGACAGGGTTGGATGGGGAATGCTGGTAAGCGGCTTATGTTCCTTCATGAGGAGTAACAGGCGTAAGTAAGTAAGCAAGTAACTCCTGCCTAAGGAATTCCAATCCAAATATTCTCATTCTGTAATTACTTTGTTCATGACTCTTACCCATCTTTTCTCGTTACGACCTAAGCTTCGCACAATCTAAACGTCTCATAATCAAAGAGATCCTGAGGCGCTTGGACGCACATAAATCTGCTGACTGTAGTATTTGACCCAGAGTCTTTAATGAATATGAAAACTTTGATTACTTCTCTCTTGCTACTTTCTTCAAGTATTTCTAAGGTATTGGTAAACCACCCTTTAACTGAAAGAATGTGAGTCGTGTCAGTAAATAAAGAGGGTAACAAGCCGGAAGAGTCCAGTTACCAACTGATTTCCTTGCTATCCGCAGTGGCGAAGGTCACGAAAAGAGTTAATAATATGCCACTTCAAGCCGACTCCATTTTTTCTGCATAAAAAATTTCCTATCCGGAAAACCTATGGTGCAAATTTGTTAACCACCTCGAATGGCCAGTCCACGTAACGGGAACTCACTCTTTCAGAGGAAACTGTCGTCTAAGACTTTTTTGAGATGTTAGAGGGGGTTGACCACTGGATTCTACTTCACGAATTAGATTCCAAAGGTATAAGTGTGTCTGATGACGTGGCTCTCAAAATACTTAACTGAGAGATTAAAATATGTCAGATTTTTCATAACTCTGTTGGACTGGTTTTCTATGTCACATGCGAAGCCTTTAAGACTCAATCCTTGGATCATTCTTCTTCTAATTATGCATCAGTCCCCCTCCCAACTCTTCAGACTGTCAAATTAAACTGCACTCAGATAGTTTTAAGACATAGGGTGAACTACTTGACACAAATGGTATTCTGACCTTCCCAGAGAACTGACAAGGGGCGGCTCGAATACCAAAAACGTTTCACACAGTATTAATAAACGCAAAGTGATACTGTAGGTGCATCTTCCCATTAGTAATCTGCAACCAGTAAAGCATACTCACTCTTGAGGGTTTTTTACTAGAACAGGTGGTTGCCTGACTTCTAGGTTATTTGAAATTACCTTTAGTGTCCACTTCAGACCCCATGCAGAAAAGACTCCGACGCTATGCCTCCTTACCCCGAGAAGAGCGTTTCTTTCAATGAATGCGTTCAAAAAAGAACGAATAAAAAAGCAAAGTTAAAAATAAAGTATGATTAGCTCTCTTGGAAACTCCCAACTTACAGCCACTTAAGCATCAGGGAACTGGAAGGACGAGTCCATGATACACCACACTACTCACAGTTCCCTCTACGTGAACAGTCCACTGATACGTTTAAGAAAGTCAGTATGTGGTACTTAAAAAACAACCACTCAAGTGTAAACACAAAAGAGATTAAAGTCCGTGGTTCGGATAGGTAAGTTTCAGAACTCCCTGGCAAAAGCTACGGTGGTGTTATTCTTCGCTTAATCTTTCAAATGAGAGCTAAACGGTTACTTTAGCACTGCAAGTACTACGGGAGACAACTCAGAGTGTTACTTTGCGATCCCTTATATTGTTAGTTGAACTGTTTAAACCCACGGTTTCCGAAAGGAATATGTCAAGAAGCGTACTATACACTCACCAACTACACATTCCAACCATCCAGATACAGATCCAAGGAAACGAATAGTTCACAGATTCTGAGAAAAAAAGTTGAGGCTGAGTGATAGCCACAAACAGCGGCTGTCTGGTTGGTAATTCTTTGGTAGGCTCATACACTGGGTCACATACTACTCCGCCAAATTCGTAAATTAAGACAATATTTAATCTTGGCGAAGTTGGAAAATGCTGATTTCATCGAATATTAGTAGTTCGTTCAAATCAAACGACTCTGATCAAAAAACAATCAAAGAGCTCCCAGTAGTTATAGGGCAGGAAATGACAACAAGATTGAAAGTCTTAAACTCATATTTCAAGGAAGTCAAATCCGTCCGTAGTTTAATTATTCAGAATCAAGCGAGACCAAAAGAAAATAATCCTGCTGAAAGGCATGCACACGATTTAGATTTAGTTGAATCTGCCACCAAAAATGTTCTGCCAGGAGGGGTTTCAGGGGCAAAGTGAAATGTAGGAGAATCCCAAACAAGAAGGATTTTGAATTCAGTATTCGGAAGTTATGAAGAAAAAAATGTTTTACTAAATAACGCATGTAATACTCATAATTCGAATATTCTAATTCAACCAGATTAGTTACTCGGGGATCCGGCCAGGCGGAAGAGTGCCATTACTGAGTTAAAAACTCGAGGGCAAAATGGCAAAACAAACCTTGAGATACAGGATTTTCAGGTTGTTAGGTCTTGGAAGCAAGTGCTTCCGAGATCTGAGTGGGTAGAACGAGCGATTCTCAAATCACCTTATATGTGTGCCACACAAACGCTAGTACTTTTAGAAATAAAACATCCCAGCTAAGTTTGATGGTGGGTGAATTAGGTCCGAACATATTCGTTGTCACAGAAACGTGGCCCACCGTAGATGTAAACCGTTCTTTAATCATTGCAAGATACATTTGTATTAAAAGTGATATTATAAATCGCAAGGGAGAAGGCATAATAATTCATGTTGGAGGTCGTTTTCGTGTACAATCAGGCATGTCAGAAGGGCATGATAGTGGTACATGTGAGGTAGCTTGTTCCACAATTAAAGCTAGACGTGTGTTAATGACTAGAAGGGGTATACCCTTGCCCACGATGTCTTGTCGTTGAAATTGTCTCAAGTGGAATCTGTTCTTATAATGAGACTTGTTGTTGCCTCATCATTGAAGGTTCCAATGCGCCACACATCAACTGGGAAGAGCTTACAACTCCAGGTGAATGTTTTGACAGCAGCCTGTTGTTGATGTGCACTTGTACAATGTGCCGAGAATTCGGTCTATATTGACTAAGAACATGGCCCGTCATTACTGAACCTTGTCCTTGCACACCACTGTGGTGATGTCACCGGCACTCAGTACTTCCCCCACCTTCAAAGTGATCATGTTGTACTGTACTTTAGGTTTCGAACAAATAATATACAGTGTATTTGCTCCGCCCCGCCCAAATACCCGGAGAACTAACACAGACTGTGATTTCTCGACAGACTGGTTGGTCAATGAAGATCGGCTAACCGAAGACGAATGGGATAAATTTAAAGCCAGATTCGAGTCCGTAACATCACCAAATATCCTATGGTCAACATCTAGGCTGAGGTGAAGGGAAACATTTCTAGGACTTTCTCTTGTCGACAGATCATGAATCATTTAAGTGTAAATACCGAAAAATCAGAAATATATGTCTAAAGACCATAGTCGTATCACCCACAAAAGACAGCTGGTATACGATAGCTTTACCTGCCCCAAACGATTGTTCTCGTACACCAAACGAAGTACAGAATGTAGTGATGGTACTCACCCATTACAGTCGAGCGAACACTCGGATAAACTAGTTGAATCAGATCTGGCCCAAGCTGAGACTTTATGAAACTATTTCAGCGGAGTCTACTCTACGAGTAGTGTTAACGGTACTTGTCATAACCACACCACTGAGACGCTAGCTATAGGATTTGTACGTGTGACTGAGGAAGCTGTTCTCTAATTGATCATTAACCCCAGACCTAGTGAGATACCGATTCCTGATAGTTTATAACTACGACCGCTACCATCTCTCGCGGACATTATTTCACGGCCGCTCATGATGCTCTTCAACACGTCCCTTTCTTAAACTCAATTCTCTAAAGATTGGAAAGGTGCTTCAGTTAGTCCAATGTTTAAAGATGTTCGGGGACAAATCGCATTTAACTACAGACCTATAATTTTAACCGGGAGAGCGGTCAAGCTATTTGAAGAGATAATTTGGGTTAAGTTACTTAGTCACACACAATCATACGATTTGTTAACCCGTGAGGAACGCCGGTTTCGAAATAACCATTAATGCCTAAACAATTTACCTATAGAAAGAGGGGGTTTGACATCAATCCAAGACAATAATCAGTTTATCAATGCACTATTCATAGACTTTGGCAATGCATTTGGCAAGGCTTATTCAAACAAGTGGTCTCAGCCTGATCAGTAAACATTATCAGGGAGAAGCCGAACCTTCACTGGGAATCGAGTTGTAAGGACTAATTCAGGTTTGCCAACCTACTGTGCTTCTTACTGAAGACCGAAGCTGAACCGCGCTATTCCAATCTGGCGCTATGTCGGTCGGTCAGTCTGGGACGGAGTTGTCTTTTGGTGTTATTAAGGTGGGTTTGCGGTTGCATCGCATTGATTAATGTTAGGATATTCTAGAGGACCCGTCAGGCTTTTCTCTAGCTAAACTAAAGGCAACTGCGGAGGCTATTGAACTAAGGTGAGAATTTAATCTTAACTAACAAAAATTCAGAGATAAAAAAAGTTTGATTGATGTTGCTTTACGGGGACGTATGCTGTGTCTACTTGCCTCAGACTCCATGGATGATGTGAAAACGCTTTTAAAAATGGGTGTTGCGGCGGCCTTAGCGAGTAAAATATTCTTCCAGCTCTTAGTTTCTCTAATAGATTTGTGCTCTGCGCCGACTCCATTTTTGTTATTCGCGGATGTTTTTAACACCAAACCAATATCGCTTTGTGAAGAAATGTTTGGATTTATGGAGGAAACAATCATCACTTTGAAGGATGTATGTTTGACGTCTTCTCATGGTTGTTGTAGGTACCCTTATTTGCTTCAGGAAGAAATACATTATTAAGAATGTGTAATGGTTCGTTTGATCACTTTTCCTCGAAATATATCTGTTCAATGTAGACCTCCTTAGACGCCTGTCAAAGTCACAGAATACTGTTTTTTGCGGCCAAATTCAACTCTTCTTGACGCGTTTATTTCCATTAGATGAAAAGTCTGGACTAAATTTTATGAGCAACTTTAACTCAGAAAAAGATGTGCTGTACAACAAAAATCCCGACCCAAGTGCTTTCAAGCATCAGGTGTCTCACGATCATACATCTGATGATTTGGAAGAGGGGGAGATGACTGATTCATCTACTCCCTTAGAAGTGGATGCCGGTCTTTATGTCAAATTTTGGTCTCTTCAGGAGTTCTTTAAGTCTCCAGCTTTGTGTTACGAGAAAGCTAAGTGGATGCGTTTCACAAGTAGCACAGACACAGTGTTAGATGTGTTTTCGAGTATTAAATTAATGGCAATAGAAGAAGGCGATATTTGCTCTCAGAGTAGCAGCGGAACGTTTTCCAAGTACCTTACAAGCGAGAAAGTAAGTGTTCTATGCATATGATGCCCTGTATCAGTAAGCTAGTAACCAAGACTTTGTTTCACATTTACTACTTTTTAATGATTGTATTACATTTTCTCGCAATTAAATGAGATGTATTATTTCGTTAATATAGTGCAGTTTCCAAAATATAAGAATGTTGAGTGCAAAATTGAGCATCTGAACTCAGATTATCTCAACGACAATGAATTCTAAACGTCTTTTACCTTTTGTACTTACCAAATATTAGACTTGAGAAAGATTCAATAAATATTTCTTACGCTCCTAGTCATCGTCCTCACCGTAACTAACAAACTAATAGTTTGTTATCAGATGGTACCAGTGGGTTAGTAAGTTTTCATCATGAACCATTAATTAGGCTATCAGATCTTGTTGGTTGTCTTGAAAGTCTTGATTGAGTACAAAGGTCTCAGCTACAACCAAGCTCAATATATAGATGTCCCAGAAATAGCTCCTGAAAACATGTATGGAATGTTTTGTTGTTCTTAAAAACAACATAGCCACACTAGCCTGCTCAGTGATATATTATTAGTTTATGTCACATAGGTATCTTCAATACTTACAAAGCTCTCCGTTACAGACCGTAGGGTTTTTTGAAGAGCGATCTAAACTTCTATAGCGTTCATATCGAAGAGCTATGTCAAACAGTACGTGAATTCGACTAGTCCATGTTAATATATCATTACCATCTGAAATCGATGGGATATTGGAAATATTTGCGTAGTCAGTCGCAGTGACACAAATGTAATTTCTTGCTGTCCACCCCTAGATCTTGATATGAAAAATCATCCTGTACTCGCCGCTCTGGTGTATTGTGACGAAATCTTCCGATGCACACTTATTTCTGGTCCTTACATTGCTAATGATACTGTCTGATGACCACTTACCTGCTTTTTGTCTGGTCAGTAAGCAATGAGTTTATATTTTATGCTGTTCGTGATTAATTCATTCTGACGGTGTCTGAACTTTCGTAATAATTTTATTTATTCTAGCTGCTGGATTTGCAACTTATGGATCCTAGTTTCCGGCGGTATATACTTGTTCAGCTACTAATCCTGTTTCAATATTTAACAACTACAGTTAAATTTAAAACGTAAGTCGAATAGTTTTTCTTCTCTTTTCCACGGTGTTTTGTAACATCCTTCAGTTTCTTAATCAATTTTCAATGCTATATTAAAAATTCCCATATTGTAAATCGAAACACTCAGTTAGTCAGCTACAATGTAGGACCAGGAACATATATGCATCGGTCCAAGTTGCTACATTTCTCTAGTACAACAAGATGAACACTACCTGCTTCAGTTTGGGCACCCGGGCAGTATCACAGCCCTCACACATATCGAATGAGATCTGTGTGGCGCATATGTATTTGGTGCCTCTTTGTACCAATATCTATGTGTTGAAATAAATAAATAAGATGAACACTGGATTCATAGAAGTAGTCAACTCAATGGTAGTAATGTATTAAAAAAACTGTATAAGGATATAGTACATGAAGAAAGAATTAGTTCGTAGAAAAGAGCCTTCACAAGGTTTTTGTACTTCTAAGGTACACTTTTCAATGACAGACATTGTCACAGAACGCCTTGGTCTACAGAGTCAAATGCTGCTTTTAAGTCAAGAAAAACTATCATTGTTGGACGCCGATAAGCATGCCTGTATTCTAAATTCTGACGAATGGTGAATATTTGGTCGATACAGCCTCGATCAGGTTTGAAGCCAACCTGATTTCCTCGTGTTTACAGTTCACGAGTCTGATAATTATTGAGGCTTATATTTTAGACACTATACTGGTCAAACTAACCCCTCTATGGTTACCATAAGATGATTTTAACCCATCCTTACACATTGGGACAATCAGTGATTGTGACCAGTTAGATGGGATTACGTCCAACTCCCAGATTTGAGCTTAAATATTAGTCAACCTAATCGTTAAAATTGGACCACCATACTTAAAGACCTCTGAAGTCAATCCATCTGGACCAGCTGCTCTTCCTCGTTTTAAATTAGCTATAGCTTTTTGAACTTCAACTAGAATGGGGGACCTACTTCAATGTCCCATTCACACTGTCTGGGAATGGTGGGTAGTTGCAGAGTAGCTGAACTGCTCCTCAAAATTTTCCGCCCATCGTTCTAAACGTCTGGACTGAGGGCGCAGATAAGAGTGTCGTCTTTTTCCGAGACAGTTTCACTTACACTTGACTTCTTAATTCCATTTTCTTTTGTTAGTATGAAAATCTGTCTGGTGTTACCAACAGCCGCTGTTTTTTTCCATCTCTTTTGCTTTCATTGTTAACCATTGCTCACTGTCATTCCTTAGACTTCTGGTTAACCTAGATCCGACTTGTTTTCGTTCTTCATTGTGTTCATAGCCTGATGAGATGAGTTTACGAGAATCTATCAGTGGAATAGACTTAGTGGAAATCCACTGGTTTTTCGTGACCCTTTGGCTCCAATCACTAATAGATGTGTCTGCTGTTTCCACGGCTGTTCGTATATTTTTCCAAGTAACATTTGGGTCAGCCTTGTTTTCAGAAGTACCTAGGTGTGACCTCAGTTGTTCCGTTAATCTACTTGTAATTCTAAACAACACGTAAATAGATAATATTGTTTACAATTACATCATCAGGCTTGACTATTATGTAGTACTATATATATGCATATATAAATATACTAGACTGACCAAGTCAGTGATAACATTGAGAGAGATCATGTAAATAAACACAACAATTAAAGATAAGAAATTGGTAGTGCGATGAATGGCGTACTATTTGCGATAAGAATATAAAAAGCTTTAATCAATATCTCACAATACAAAGTCAAAGACGTTGAAATAAAATTAGTCAAAAATTACTGAGATTACGTGATGAGAATTGTCCAAATAATTCGATGAGTCAACCAGTTTCAACATAGAACCTGGTACGTATGTGCATCAGTTCAAGCTATCATACTTTATTACACAGAGATGGAATTGTCAAGCCGAACCCTAGAGTAGTAGAGTTATTAGCAGTATCAGTGGTAATAGAGAAGATTAGGCATCGAAGATACAATTCAAGAAAATATGAATTAGTAAAATAAAAACCCTGTTCACGTTTACTGTAATTCTTTGGTACACCTTTTAATGTCAGACATTGCTGCAGAACCTCACTATCGACCAAGTCGAACGCCGCCTTTGTGTCGATGAATAAAACTGTCGTCAAACGCCGAAAAGTTTGTCTATATTCCAGAACTTGCCTAAGGTGAATATTTGGTCTGTACATCTACGTTCAGGTCTAAAACCAGCTTGGTTTTCTCGGGTTCTCTCTTCATGGGTCCTAGCTAGACGTTAAAATATTATTGAGGCTAGCATTTTATACACCATATTAGTTAAACTGATTCTTCTGTGATTGTAAAAAAAAGAATTTTTGTCATTTATAAACTGGGACGATCAGCGACCGTGACCAATCAAACGGGATCATGTCTGGTTCCCAGATTTTGGCTGAGATTTCAGTTAATCTAACTGTTAAAACGGCCAGTGTCTCTAAAAGCCTCAGGGGTCAGTCCATCAGACCTTGCTGCTCTCTCTCGCTTTAGATTACTTATGGCCTTTTCAAACTCGCTAAGAGTTGGAAGACTTACATTAATTTGCCACTCAAGTTGCTTGGAGATAATGGGTAACTCAATTGTGGCTGAAAGCCAGTTGAAAGGTTTCCTAAGTGTTCTACTTATCGGTCTGATTTTCTGGAGTGTGAAAGGTAACTCTATTTTTTCCGAGATGGGTTTTTGTAAAGTATATCAATTTACCTTTGTCCGTTGTTCTACATAGAGATCGCTACTTTAAGTGATTTTAGTTGTTTTACAAAAACGCTTTCCAGATATTGAATGGTTTCCTGGAGAGGCGAAAATTTTCTTTAACGTTGTTTTTCATATGTATTATGTCTTGTGAGTTTGTTTTCATCTAAATGGTGTACGGGATTCCTCAATTAAGATCGTTAGGTTTGTTTTCATCCCGAGTATTTCAGTACATTTGTTATCTACCAACTAAAGTTTTCTTATGTTTACAACAGTCCTCCCTGGTTTATGTGATTGGCTAGTGTCAATAGAATAGGTGTATGAGTGTCCTAACTTATTTTTCGTTTCAAAATCCAAGAAAACTTTTCCCACAGTCTAGATGCTTGATTTTTGGTATCACAACCCGTCACTGATCGATTCTTTTGTTTGTTATGCTTTATTTCATAAGTATTTTATTTCTTGTTAGTTTAATTCACCATAAAAGGCATCCTTTATAATAGAATACACTCTGATATCAGGTTTGGGTAATGTCTAGTTCGTATCTTAGTAATAATTAACGGTAAAAACATTTACAAAGCCGTAACTCGTTTGCGATTGTGTTCTAGGTGATGTCCATTGTTCACAGAAATGTATTTCTTAATGGTCAATCATTAGTTGTCAGGATTTTGTTTCACTTATTAGGAATGGAAACAATTTTTATGAGTTTATTAAGCTGTTTGGTTACGATTTGACAATATGCTAGCGCCAGTTTTTATATGGGCATTTTCCTCAGTATAGAGTTGGTATAGTGTAAAATGAATTGTCAGTCAAAATCATATTAAACTCCTTTGCCAATTCATTTTTGTCCCTGAAAGGGTAACTTTGAAATCGTTACGCTATTGGCTGTTCTAAAGCGAACAATTCCTAAGGTCGATTTTGAACAAACTTTCTTGTTATTATACATTTGTTTACCTTCATTAAGCATTTAATGTAATCATTCAGTAGCTGGTATTTTTCCCGTTTCCCCTAGAATTGATCAAGTACTTAGTGAGGATCAGCGCGCTTGGGTTAATCAAAGACATGAAGTAGTATTACGACTGTTATCCTCTAATAGTCCAAACAATTCTTCGGGTGGTACGTTTGTTTCTACAGTAGAACGCATTCTGGAACGTGAAAGTTATTGGAATAGATGGAAGAACGATGGATGTCCTTCATTCGTACGAAATCCTGAAAAATCTAGGTTATCTGTTAGGCAAGTTCTACTTTTTGCGAGAAGTTATTTTATTTGGGAAAGACATTTGACTTATGGTAACTTCATGTTCGTTCTTGTAGGAAAAGGCATATAAACCCTTTAGTTACTCGTACTGGTCAGAAAGTTTATCGTTTTGGTAATCGAGAGCTAGATAAATTATGGAATGTATGTCCGGATAATTTAGCTGCTTGTCGGGACAAACGGCGAGTTTTCAATCCAGATCTTCATTCCTATTTTCAAGATGCTATCATGGAAATGGACCCAGCGGAAAAAGTTGAAGAGGAATACAAGTAATTTTTTTATGATATAGCCTCAGTTTTTGAATTGATAATCTATCGTTCACGATTTATACTTTATGTATTTAAATATTTCACGGTTGTTTACATCAACAAAGCGGTGTTGGACTTGGTGACAGTTTAATTTAGAAAAGGCATCAAAGAGAAGTTAATAAATTATGAAAATAAAAACCAATAATAGTAATTATTGGTAGTAAAGCACTAGAAACGCAAAGTCTGAGACCGGAGATAGAGAAGGTTCACATGACATTATCCACTATTTTGTGGTATCTGTGCCGGTGGAGTACATTCCAAAAAAATATTTTCTTACCTGTGTTTACAGAGTGCTTAGCTTTCAAACATACAAACTAATATTAAGTCTGATGAAAGTAATTAAGTTTTCCTAAAATATCTAGAGCTCATAACCATATTCAAAGCTTTCATGATGATCCTAAGGATAAAATGTACCGCTGCAATCTGGATTAAATGTTCTACAACCATAGGGTATTAGTCTCAATGACTTATGGAGCCAGAGTTGTTCGGATATATTTGCAAACGCTAACGGTAGCACGTAAAAAAACCAATTGATTTGATTTCTTAATTTTACTGTAAGGACTTCTGTGAACATTACATTTTGATCTTCACAGCCCGTTTAAAAATTCAAAAGACAGATTATGTTGCATAAAAAGAACGTAGTTTCATTAATTATTCAGCCTTCCAACATACTAACAGGGTATATATATGTAAGCAATGTATTTCTGTTAGTGAAATTTTCTCAATAAATTAATGAAGTTAAGAAAATGCCAAACATTTTGTGTTTAGCTACCTTTTTACACTTGCCTGAAGATGTACGGGATTTATTTCCTAGCAATTGTACGTTTTATGCATGTTTCAGATCGATTAATAAAGATGAATGGAGCTGGCGCGCTCTTCGTTTTCTTTCAAGAAAGTGTCCACATTTTTACATCAACTGGAACCCACCTGGACGACCTGTAAAGGACTATTTATCAGTTATTCTCACTGAGAAAATTCAATCTGAGGTTAGTTACCTTCAGACTACGTTCTAAGGAAAAAATTCACTTTTTGAAACTAATAGATGACTATATAATTCATGACTGATACAATCCCCCCCAGAGGTTAGTAGTTACAGTTATTTCCGTGATGAAGTTTATGCTTTTCATCTGATTTTCATTGTCCTATTCAATGTGGATTGTTGTCTGTTTTTAAAAGACAATAAATTTCGAAGGACTAAAATGTGGGTTAGTTCGCTATATCCATGGAAGAATATTGAACATCTGTAAGTGAACTGGTTTATCTAACATTCATTATGTTCGTACTAAGCTTGTCTATAAAACTGATTTAAAGAGATATAACTTTCTAAATCTATAAACTAAATTTCTTCTGACTTTGGTGTTTTACAATTTTAAAGTAAACTATCCAAACATTTTGATTGTCTCTTACTTCAAGAATACATTTATAGGTTGAAAGGGAAACTATCCTAGAACTATATTTTCCTATTGATCCTTGCAGTTTCTGTGATATTCTTGTAACCCAAAGTCATACACTGTTCCAACTCAGTTGACATTATGTTCAGTGTTAAACTGCATCTCCTGAAACACCAGTTTTTCATAAGCATTTTTTAGAAAGGTTCGAGCTCATCAGTCTTCTGTACTTGCATTGATATCTCATCACTGACCAATCATTTATGTTCATTCGATCAACATGATTTTCGAGTTTAATATCCTTATATCTACATTGATTTTTTCTTACAGTACCATTAAAAAGTGTGGTGATATGAACATATAAACGTTTGTCCCATGACCTACCTCAATACTGTTTTAAATGTGACTCATATATGTGTCAGGTACTGGTTTATGTACTTTGATCTACATTATTTGTGCAATAGCTTATGATACCACTCGACTGATCAAACCGAAATTGGTGGAACTAGGGTTCGGATCTGTGACCTATTGACTGAAAGCGTCTTAAATCCCGACTGTTGCTGTTACTTTGATGTGGTGGTCGAGTTTACCTATCGTGATGAAGCAATCGGACTATACTGGCTGGAACGCTTGTTTCTCAAGGTCCCACCATGTCAGATAGATGCAGGTCCAGTTGCCTAACAGAGGGCATTGTTGTCAACATTTAATTAAATTGTAAGGTTACGAAAACCTCTCAGGTTTAGACATTAATTATACATGTAAACGTGTTTGAACTGAAATAGTTTTAATTGTTCTCTTATCAGAAAAATCTCAACCTCAAGAAAACAACAAAATTTATCAAAAGTTTATCACGAAATAAAACTGACTCTTTTTTCAATAAAAACCATTTACATTATTTGAAATTGTACAATCGCATTTCTTTAAATATAAACTACGTTTTTAACGTGACCTCAGTAAAATTTAATGTCGTTTCACCATAATGGATGACTTCCGGTGACTAGCGGTAACATTTTTTTATTTAGTCACTCATTATTAAAATAATTTGTCTTTTTTACCGGTCTTTTTCTTTTCAGGAGGATAAAAAGGGTCCCACTAATAATGTTTCTGATTGTGACAATCGTCGTGGCTCTGATGGCAGTATTGGCGACTCCATACCCAATAAACAACCTAAACTGGAAGAATCAGTTGATTCAACAATTCTAGATTCTACTGTAAAGTCTTCCAGCTTGTCACGTACCCGATCAGTTCCGAATACCAAGCAGTCACAGGAACATACCTTAACTAAAGGTCAAACAAATGCCAAGTCATATGGTAGCCCAATGAGAACTCGGTACCGTGATACATCAACAGCAAATGTTAGTTATCTGTTATATTTACTAACCATTCTCAATTTAATTAGTGCAGCATATTATTTAAGTTTATTAATTCATGAAATCTATTGAGTTCGTGACATTGTGAATTGACTCTTCCTAGAGCCTTTGCTCTTTTATGGGATTTATTACACAAACTGTTCTATGGTAACTATTACAAATTTATAATCCTAAGGTTATGCTTGAATTTCAAGTGCAAATATGCGATTTTAAAGGACGTGTTTTAAGATGGTAGAAATTTCATTTTCAATATACAAGTAACTGGTAAAAATTCTTAATATGCATTACACAACATCGTTAAATAGCCTCGAGTAACCGATTGTGACGTTCTGTGAAAATGTTTTCGTATTGATCCCTCATCAGTCAAATAGGCATATGTTTTCTCATTATGTATTTTAAATGACTTTTAAAATTCAATCCTCAAATCTTTTATTACATATTTCACTTTTGACTCCATTGACTTGGTTTCTAGTGACTGATATTTTAGAACTGTTTCAAATCAGCCTTACTGGAATCCAACAAGGATTAAGAACTGGTTATCCATAATTCACTAATTACATCTGAATTACTTAAGTCGATACTCGACACAAATTCAAATTTATGAACACTAAATAGTTGTTTCAAATGTTTCCTAAGGCAATTTAGCATTATACATTCGTGATCATTTACAAACAGTTTATTTTATGTATGCATACTTTGGAGACCGAAATTTCAATCTAAGTTGACTGATAATTTAACTGTGTTTATACCTTATTATGTGTATTAATCAGACTTCGAGGCATTTAAGTAATTTGAAGATGCTTAACTGTCATATCAGGTCTTATTCAGACTGAACTCTTTTACCAAGTATAATTTCTTTTATGATCGAAATCTGCAAATATATCCTCTATAGTTAGTAGCAACTAGATACGTTGTATTATCCTTTCACTCTTTATGTAGATTACTCGCTAACTGGTCGGAAAAATCACAGTGGTACGATAATGATTGTTTTAAGATAAAGTATTATGTTTAGGTGATTATTTAATTATTTGGTGCCTTTGTGTGTGTTTTTAACACTAACATTTAAGATTTTTTATGTTTAGTAAATAACAAATAGCATATATTAATAAAACTTGCTAAATAGTGTAGTAGTAGTAGTATTACGCCTTGTTTTTATAGCGCTAAAATTCTTCAAAAATTTGTTTTGTTACTTTTAACACTAATCTATAAAATGCTGACCGTAAAGAGAAAAAAAAACAAGAATTTCTGTTACTGTATTAAAAATACCACTTTCGTGTTTTGTGATAAACAAACGTCAGTTTATTGTATCTGTGAATGTTTACATAACATTAAGTTATTTTGAATGTAATATTATAGAGGCTTATAAAAAGGAACTTTATTAATCAAAAAAATGTTATTATTCACCATCTATATATTAGTCGACTTTTAATGAAAATTATTTCGTGGTTAAGAATTTCTTTATTTCTTATGCTGTACGCTTAATTGTTACTTTAAATCAGTGTGACTGAAAACTTGATCAGTCGATCAATTAAGTGGCGATATTTCTTTATAAGGCATTTAATATGTCCAAAAATCAATGGTTTATTGATTGTATAGCTTTGTAGTAGTAGTAGTTTCACTGTAATTTTCCCAGAGATACTGTTGGCCTCTGCTTTGACTACCGTAAAAATCTGTGATTAAGAAAGTAATGAGTGTTTTGCGCTTGATTCTCATAAGATTATAACATTACATAAATAAATTTGTTTATTTGTCTTAGGATTTCATGAGAACCTTCCTTAGTGTATAATCATAAATAATGTACATGTTTAACCAGAAGTGGTTTGGTCTTATTTGGTCCTCTCCTGTATACAGAATTTTCTTGTGTCCTGGTATATTTTCCGATTGTATGTGCGCAGCCAAGGTTCATGAGAAACGATAATGCTTCATCCATCATAAATTAAAAATATAAATTTATCACACTTGTGTTAACGTTTGTCGAATTAATCCCTTACAATTTAACTTTAACTTGTCTAATATATGTTAAGGAAATATCGGTTCTTAATTTCACCTGGCTAACTGCACCGTACATCATTTACGATCAGATGACTAGTGACTATTTTAAGTATAGGTCTTGCAATCTAAATGATGATAATAACTCTAAGTGCTTAATTTGAAGTGCATATACCAAAGCTATTAGTTTGATATTGTCAGTGTAAAATTAAGTGCAACAATTAACTAATTATAAGTAAGCTAGCAAGTAGCCAAAAGAAACAGACACCGAAGCGTGTGAAAAATTATTAGGTGTCAATGAAAAATGTATCCAGATAATATGGCATACCCACCATAGAAACATTATAATTCTCTATGACTAAGATTGTACTTTGCTCATTTTCCGTTTCATCTGTTGTGAAAATCAATTATATATATATATAACTTAAGCTACTTGATCATGAGTATGTTATATCTCATATTCAGTGGTAATAAGATTGATTTTCCACGTTGTTTTCTTACTTTCGTTCGATAATGACAGTTCATTTAACAATGTCTTTCTGTTTGTAAGTAATATCTGCTTTGTTCATTTCCCGAAAATTATTACCATTTAGCGTTCGAGTGATATCTCTTATAGATGTCGTTATTTCTTCGTTGTTGTCGTTCAAATTCTTGCATTAATTAGCTGTAGTAGAGTTAAAAAGATCAACGTTCAATTACTACTATGAAATTACTCTTTACCTCAAAGTAAAACGAAATGCCTATCTAGACTATAGTTTTACAACGACAAATTTCTTAGCTTTTTCGTGTAGTTTATATGCACAACTAGTTACAGTCTACTAGAACTGAAAGTAGACAATAAAATTCAAAACCATTTGTTCCATGTAAAGTTTCTAGTTGATTCTCTTGAGAGTATAGTCCTTTCTGATACGAGTATTACTTAAAATCTTACTTTTTTAGTCTTTTCATGAAATATGCATAGCGGTTAACTGACTAGTTACTTTAAGCTCAACAACAATAAAAAAACCTTGTCAATTATGTGGAGCTACATTATCATACAATATTCGGATAATTATTCTTCGATAATCAATATCGATTACACAGTGATAATTGAAAGTGTTCTTAAAGTACAACTTTTATGAATATTCTTGTTTTTATAACAGCAAACGTTTACTTACGCGATTTATTTGTAAAAAGACATTAAGATTTTGATATGATATCAGGCGAATCGATCATTTAACCTAATTAGTATGCTTCATGTGCTATCCGCTAATTTTTAGACTAACCTAATGGAATTTACTAAATCACACATAAAATAACTAGTTAAATGTCTACTAGTTTTACGTACTATGTTGAATCACTATTCTTTCAATTGTTGATTTGTGTCAGCTTTATTCAGTTCACAGAAAAAAAAGCATAGTGAGTACTAGTCTCTGAGTTTACATTTGATTCAAAGTCATATTAACTAATGTTTTCTAAGCAAGATACATAATATATTCCAGTCGAATGAACTAAACATACTCAAAAAGACGTGATATCGGTGTACTCTTATTTTATTTATTCTTTTTTAAGTTACGAATTGACGAAAGGGTATTTTAATCGTTTATTTTCAGTTCTACATAATTTAATGACATATTCTCATGTATATTTCTTGTCTCCATTTGTCAAAACAACTTTTCAGGATGGAGTTGATACAGCCTCAGGGAGTGATAATGATGCCAACGGTGAAAATGATAGTGAATCTGGTTCCATTACTGAATAACTGTGTGCATCAGAACATTGTAATTATAGATCAAAATTTTGTTTCATCATTTATAAGTAGTATATGTAGCTATGCAAAAATAAATTTTTTGTTTCGCTTCTTTTTTTTCCAAATTCCCTCGTGTTTTTGTAAACTTGTGTCTTTATTTTTCCATCTATTCACGCCTAGAAACAGCCATTGTGAATATTTATCATGTTTGTGAATAAATGTGTATATTTATCAACATTGTTTTAATTTGCTTGTTTGTTTTCAAGACATGTTTTGGTTGGCTATAATTTTTTTTCATTGCATATTTTTTACAAACATTAACAGTCCATACTTAATTATATACATCATATCAGTACCACTTATGAAAGATGAGTACAAAAAAATCAGATCAATTCGCTTCTGCGATGAGCTGTTACATGATTTCTTTCAGAAGTACCATCATGCAATTCAACCTGATGCGATATGTACAAGTAATTCTGATCAGTTTGTGACTCACATAAGTGTATTTAGTTTATTATTTGAACTGTTCGCCACTAGTGTTTTAATCTTTCTTTAATTGATTAAAATACTTGTGTGCTGCATACGTTACACCTGATTATAAGTATTACCTCAACCAGCACAAGACTATCGTTTTCGTTAAATTATTCAGCCTATCTACATTGAAACGCTTGTTGTTCAACATTCTGTACTATTTAAACAACTGGTTAGGTATCATTGAGATTGGTAGTAGGCACTCTTCCGTTGTAACAATTCATAGTATATTGATTACTTGGCGGTGAATTTATACAGTGGATTCGACTGGTGGTTGGTAACACTTAATTACTTTACTTACTCCTGTTACTCCTAATGGAGCATAGGCAGCCGACCAGCATTCTCCAACCCACTCTGTCCTGGGCCTTCTTTTCTAGTTCCATCCAATTCTTGTTCATTTTTCTCATGTCTATTTCCATTTCCCGGCGTAATGTGTTCTTTGGTCTTCCTCTTTTCCTTTAGCCTTGAAGATTCCATGTGAGAGCTTGTCTTGTGATGCAATTGGATGCTTTCCTCAATGTGTCCTATCCACTTCCAGCTCTGGGGTCTGGTTTGTTCTCTCCCATAGTAGGTTGTTGCTAATAGTGTCCGGCCAACGGATCTGAAGTATTTTGCGTAGACAACTGTCAATAAACACCTGTATTTTCTGGATGATGGCTTTCGTAGTTTTCCAGGTTTCTGCCTCATACAGTAGAACTGTCTTGATATTTGTATTAAAAATCCTGACCTTGGTGTTGGTTGACAGTTGTTTTTAGTTCCAGATGTTCCTCAGTTGTAAATATACTGCTCTTGCTTTGCTGATCCGCGCTTTCACATCTGCATCAGATCCACCCTGTTCATCAATGATGCTGCCCAGATATGTGAAGGTTTTTACATCTTCCAAATCGTCTCCGTCAATTGTGATTGGATTGGCGCATGCTGTGTTGTATCGGAGAATCTTGCTTTTTCCTTTGTGTATATTGAGACCTACTGATGCTGCTGCTACACTGGTCGTCTTCTCTTGCATTTGTTGTTGCGTTTAGGATAGAAGGGCCAGATCATCTGCGAAGTCTAGGTCGTCCAACTGCATCCTAGATGTCCACTGTATCCCGTGTTTCCCTTCAGATGTTGACGTCTTCATGATCCCGTCGATCGCCAGGAGAAAGAAAAAGGGTGAGAGTAAGCAACCTTGCTTGACACCGGTCTTTACCTCGAATGACTTTGTCAACTGTCCTCCATGCACATATTGTAATCCATCATATGAATTCTGTATGATATTGGCTATCTTCTGAGGCACGCCGTAGTGTCGAAGAAGCTTCCATAGTGTTGTTCTGTCCACGCTATCAAATGCTTCTTCGTAGTCAATGAAGTTGATGTAGAGTGATGAATTCCATTCAATTGATTGTTCCACAATGATCCGTAGAGTTGCGATTTGGTCTGTACACTATCCTTACGGAGTCCTTCATCCTGTTTAACAATACCCTGTTGAAGACTTTTCCCGGTATTGAGAGAAGAGTGATGCCCCTGTAATTATCAAAGTTGCTGAGATCGCCTTTCTTTGGTATTTTAACCAGATGTCTTTCTTTCCAGTCTCTTGATACTTGTTCCTCATCCCAAATCTTGCTGAAGAGAATGTGGAGTATCTTTGTAGTTACTGCTACGTCTGCTTTCAGTGTCTCTGCTGGAATGTTGTCTGGTCCTGCTGCTTTGCCACTCTTGATTTGTCTGATGGCCATGTTTATCTCTTCAATTGTTGGTGGGCCAACATTTATTGGGAGGTCCGTGGGTGCTGCTTCAATGTTGGGTGGGTTCAGTGGAGCTGGTCGATTCAAGAGTTCTTTGAAGTGTTCTACCCACCTGTTTTGTTGCTCTTCAGTGTTGGTGATTACCTCGCCTTCCTTTCTTTTCACTGGTCGTTCTGGTTTGCGGCGATTTCCAGAGAGTTTCTTTGTTGTGTCGTACAGTTGTCTCATGTTTCCTTCTCTTGCAGCCTTTTCCGCCGTCGTTGCTAAATCTTCCACATATTTACGTTTGTCAGTTCTGATGCTCCTCTTCACTTGCTCGTTTACTTCTGTGTATTCGGTTTGTGCCTTGACTTTTTCTGCTCTTGTTCAGCTGGTATTGATTGCTGCCTTCTTGTTCTTCCTTTCTTGAATCTTATCCAGTGTATCAACAGTGATCCATTCCTTGTAATGGTGCTTCTTGTGGCCCAGAACCTCCCGACATGTTGAAGTGATTGCCTCTTTGATCCCCTTCCAGTTGCTCTCCACAGAAGTTCTTTCTCCATTGAGTAGATCATGAAAGGCCTGGAACTTATTGCTGAGGGCTAACTTGAATTTGTTGAGTTTGTTAGTATTCTGAAGAAAGGCCGTATTGAACTTTTGTGATATTGCCCGCCCCGTTGTCCAGTGCTTCTTGAGTTTCAATTTCGTCTTGGCGACCAGCAAGTGATGATTTGATGCTATGGCAGCTCCTCTCTTGGTTGTCGCGTCCTTCATCGTCCTGAATGCAGATATGATTGATTTGGTTTTGCGTAGTGTGGTCCGGTAAAGTCCATGTGGTTTTGTGAATGCGTTTGCGTGGGAATATAGTACCGCCTATGATCAGTTTATTGAAGGCACACAGGTTTGCAAATTTCTCACCATTTTCGTTCCTTTCTCCCATTCCGTGTCGTCCCATGATATCTTCATATCCGGTGTTGTCCATTCCAACTTCGGCATTTAAATCTCCCATCAGAATGGTCAGGTCCTTTGTTGGGCACTTCTCGACAATTGACTGCAGCCTATTGTAGAATTGATCTTTAGCGTCTTCATTGTAGTCGTTGGTAGGTGCATAGCGTTGGACGATGTTCATTGAAATGCCCTCTTTCTTTGTTTTGAACGAGGCTTTGATGATCCTTGGTCCATGAGATTTCCATCCTATAAGCGCATTTTGCGCTTGTTTGGACAGCATCAATGCAACTCCTTGTGTTTACGAGGCATTTCCTTCTTCATGGCCGGAGTATAACAGAAACTCCCCTGAAGTTAGTCGTTGTTGTCCAACTTGCATCCAATGTGTTTCACCGATCCCAAGAACTTCTAGGTTGTATCTTCTCATTTCTGCAGCAATTTGGCAGACTCTCCCAGTCTCCCACATTGTACGAGTATTCCATGTACCTAAATAAATGGTTGCTCTGGTTGCCAGAAGGGGCATCGGCCTCGTGACTTCCGAAGGAACTTGACTTTCATCATGAGGCGTCACAGTTCTTCTAAATGAAGACCTGACTCCCAGGGCACAGTTTAAAAGGTTTGAATAATTTTTTCTGGTTAGCGTTTTTTTAGCGAGTTAGTTTTCTACGGGATGGGGTAGCTAACCATATGCCCAACCCTCCTCCTTTATCCGGGCTCGGGACCGGCAGAGGCCGACGGAGGGACCCCGGGCGGAGTTGGTAGCACTATTAACGCGAAAAGGAAACTTTCATTAACAGTCGTAGTTCTCAGCAATATCAATAAGTCTTTGGAGGTCTTTTATGGAAGTTGTTACATCAGTGTCCTATGGAAATCTTATCAGCTGTATTATACTTTGTGTTCATCATAATGTCTTGTCGTTTCTTCCGTATATTCACAATGTATAACTTCATTTAAACTCTGTAAGTTGGTATTTAGTTGGTTACAGATTGTTCAGGCCATGTTCAACTATCAAGATAATGGTAAACTTTATAAGTTGTTGATGATTTATTTTGAAAGATTATCACCTATATATTTGTATATTTAATGTTCACTTACTCATTGTCTGCAGTCTAAATGACATACTGGATGCGTTCTACCGAGGGTGTTACCAAACATGTGGGTGTAAGAACTCTCCTAATCATATGTTTGTATACCAAGAGTATTGTGTTTATTGAAATAGAAGATATCGTTTATTACTGTATTCTTAGTTCAACGAATTAAAAAAATGCTAGGATTCCTAGTCTTGCTCAGAAGCCTGCCTTCTCGTTTACAACGTCGCCAACAAGGACAAATGTAGTTTTATTAGGCTCCTGCCTGAACTATCCTAACATTAAACATGTACATATTATTAGTGTTAACGATTATTCAGTGGTACAAAACTTAGATTCTCTTGTTAAAACATGAAGTCCGACTGATCAGTGATGTCGAAACTTGTTTATCTGGATCACGAAAATCCCAAACGCACCCAAGTTTCAATATTTACCCGTTGTATACGTAGGATCTGATAACATTTGGTGTGAAGCGTGATGATGGGTTTACACAATGACTGGACAGTTTTGGGTATCCAGAGAAGGGAAGTTAAAGACAGTTGGGATAAGGTGTCGATCCACTTGTATGTCATATTCAGTCAGTCAGTAACAAAGTAGAACTTCGTACGTACGTACATCAGTTCGAGTTGCTATACCACATTAGCACACAGATGTAGTGGTCGATTCAAATCCCGTAGTGGTAGAGGTAGTAAGAGTATAAGCAGTAATCGGAAACATTGGGGTTCGGAGATGTTATTTAAAGAGTATAATTCAGTGAAATAAATTCGGGAAGAGAAAAAAAAAGAGACAAGGAGGAATAAAGAGATCAAAATTGGGGAGAACACAAAGAGTGTATGCACCTGCGCCATTGCAAACGATTTTGAGCCATGTCATTCAGGGTCTCTAACCATCGGTTGCTACCATCTCGCGGTCCCCAGCCAGGTAGTCTACACCTACCAACATGACTCAGACCACTTGTCAGTGACTTCATCGACTTGTCCCATGTTTTGTTCTGGCCGCCCCTAGCTTTCTTCCAACCTACTCTTATACCACTGAACATTGCACATCGAAGCAGTCGGTCGTTGGGCATACGTAACACATGTCCCAGCCATCTCAACTGATGAGTTTTCACTACATCATCAATTGATTAGCCATCCTTCCCTAGTACCCGTTTCTTAACAAGTGCGTTACTTACTCGATGTCATATTGAATTTGTTGGAGGGGACTAATGACAAATATGACGTTCAGTGAGGATCAAGTTTCGACAAACTATCTCGGAACATCTACAATTATAGTGGCCCAGGATTACTTGCGAGAAGTACTTGCATTACGTGCAGTAATGTGAGAACTAATACTCTGTGATGTGCTCACATTGTTACCGGTAACTAGAAAGTGCAGTAATTCCTGTGTGATAACTTCAGATGTATCATTTCGATAAATGTTGTTTCAAAATCCTTATACCTTTAATCGATGATCTACTAACTTGAGTTTAAGAAAACTGGATCTTAAGGAATTAGATACCTTTGACCACCAATCATCCATCATCAAGTGCTAACTCTCTTCAAAGTTCCATTATATAGAAATTTTCGGTGTTCTATTCCTCTCGTTCTTACTGGGAGCCCTAGTTCACTAAAATCATTCTGAAAAAACCTATATGTCTTTACTACTAATTTCTAGGATACACTGTGTTCATGAGTAAGTTAGAAGTAAGCTAATATAAGCCTTGATGAATTTTAACCAGAACGTTGTTAAAATTATGTAAAGACAAAAAGTACTATGTTTATAAGTTATTTCACTTAAAGTAAAACATTCGGTTATTCAGCAACTGAAGCATATTTCAGCAAAATGTTATAATTGTGTATCAATTTTTTTTTACATTATTTACAGAAATACACATTAAGTTATTTATTAATTCATTCTGTAAATTTTCATAATTTACACAGTAGTCTATCTATAATTTCTACTTCAATGGAATAGTACTGCACGTTCATAAATAAAATTAACGATCTACCTTAAAATTTTACTATAAGAAGTTATTCACCTTTTAGCAAGCTAACTGTATTTGCAATTTTAAGAAGCCTATGCAAGTTAACAAAGTACCTATAACTGTTGGTAGAAACACTGCTGCTTGTTTTTGTAAAAAGAATAGGTTCATTTCACTGAATTAATGTTCAAAATAAACTTAAAAGGGACACCTTGTGATGGAAAGCTGTGTTTTTTCCCAATCAATATCGTATAGTAAAAGTGACATTATACTGATGAAAGTTAATTCACGTCAATATTGATATCTGTATGTACCGGTTCTAGCATTAAAAAGTTTTCCTATGGTTTCTGTATGGGATAGAAATGTACGTTTAGTATTCTGTTGTTTACAATAGTTGTTCAACTTGTATTTATTGATTTTGGGGACCGCTTTCAAGTATCTTATTTACGATTATGTTTTTCAACCAGCTACTAAGCAATTAAGTAAACAAATCAACTGTTATTGTAGTGCTTTATTTAATAAAATTTCATTGTGGTAAATAACACTAGTAATTGAGCTTTTCTCATTTGTTGGCCACAGTTGTTTCATAGATCTAAATTTTAAGCAAAATTTGAATTGCTGAATAGTCGTACTAAACGGGCAAACACAGTGAATATTTTGTCAGGAATTTGTAAAATTATTTAAACTAATTATAGATGACTAGTGTAATACTCGTGATGAGTTGTTATCTTTGTATATCTTGTCAGCTTAATCAACAAGCCTAAATTCCTATTTTTGAGCTTCAGTCTACAAACTTTTAAAATCCAAAACACAACTTACATGGTAAGGTAATAAAAGTATTATTAACAACAAAAGCTCGAATCCTAAATTTATGTGTTAGTAAATTCTCACACTTAAATAATAAGTATTGTACAATCAGTTTACACGATCAGTCATTCAGTCAACTACAACGTACGACCAGGAACATATATGCATCGGTCCAAGTTGCCACACCTCATTAGCACAACAAGATGAACACTGGATTCATAGAAATAGTCAACTCAATGGTAGTAATGTATTAAAAAAGACTGTATATAAGGATGTAGTACAGGAAGAAAGAATTAGTTCGCAGGAAAAAAGGCATAGAGCAATTTTAATCACACAGTTTAAGGGAGGACAACGAGTGTATACAGCTACATTATTGTGATCGATTTTGAGCCATGTCATTCAGTCTGCAGCCATTGGTTATGACAGTCACACGGACCCAACCAAGTAGTCTGTATCTATCCACATGGCTCAGACCAAAAGTTAGTGACTTGATAAAATATTGTAAAACAAAAATTAAACGTTCTGAGATAAGGTAGATTCGAGTGCATATGTAGATGACTTACAGTATATGAAATTAAATACCAGTGCTTTCAGGTTTTCCCTGGTGGTCTAGCGCCAACTGACTCAATCTCAACCATTGAAATTAATGATTCATTGTTTGTTAATTTAATTTTGTGTGAAAATATCATTACCCTCCTTGTAGTTCTATGATGTACAAAAAATATGATGATAATATTTACTGTGATTGTAACATCTTTCTCGTTTACAATTACTGATGTTTTACAGGAATCCTGATCGCAGATAAAATTTAGATACAATTTGTATATTTAAAAAAAAAGATATGTTCAATTATACTTACTATACACAAGCATTCGATGTATATTAAATGAATTGTCACAATGAATTACGTTTGTATTAATTCTGCTTTAGGGGATACCTTTTTGTATCACTTGAAGTAATCCTAAATAGTAAATATTCAGTTTGGGGTTGTGGAGTTTGATTGAAATCGTGAACCGATCAATACCAGATCAGGTTTTCGGTGTTAGTCTAACATTGATCGGTTCATGATTTCAATGAAATGATAAATAATCGACTAGGCGTAAATCTATTCCTGCACTCATAATTGGTTAAACATTTCACTTCATTATACTGTTAAATCTTTTTTAAAATATTAGAACATAAAAAAGTGTTTGGAAATATTTTCATCGCTTTTAAATTGTTAATTTTTAAATCAGAATTATACTAAATTCACTGTAACAAATATTCAACTGTATACATTTTTCGCTTAAAACAGTCAATCATTCATTGTGTAAGAAAACATGTGTAAAAGTATCATCCAGACGAATGAGAAACCAGCTATATTGCTTCCATTATCATCATTTCATTTTTAACAAGAGTATGACTTTTGTTCGATTCTACTTGATGATTTCAAGCATAAGGAATTAGAGTAGAATCTTTCAAGTTCTAGTTCACTGTATTTTTATAAATACATCTTATTATAAGTAGTTTATTGTCATGGTTTTGTATACCTTTGATGATATACACAATAAGGAAACTGTTGTATTCTTATAACATGGTAAAATTTATTTCTGGTAATAATATGAGTTTTATTGTTATTACGATACGCTTCATATTACTTATTTTGTGTAAAATATGTGTATTTCACTACATGAATTAACTCTAACTACATTTGATTTTTTTAAAAATATTACAAAATATTTTTTGGTATAAATATAATTTCAATAGTTGAAATCATGAGTCAATTGAAGCTAGACCACCATGGAAAACCTGGAAGCACTGGACGGCCGTCTCGTCCTAATACGGGACTCCTCAGCAGTTCGCATCCATGATCCCGTCCTTCGCGAGATTCGAACCTATCAGTCTCGCACGCGCGAGCGCTTAACCACTAGATCACTGAGCCAGCCGGCATCCAATAGCGTTAATGTCTAACTTCAATCAATCCACGTAATTGCGCCATTGTCTTCAGTGAGCTGATGTCTCACGCTTCATATTACTTATTTTGTGTTAAATATGTGTATTTCATTACATGAATTAACTTTAACTACATTTGATTTTAAAAATATTTTCAAATATTTGTTCTTTGTATAATTTATGATAAATACATAATTCTTCAGACAATTTTAATTAACTGTGAAACTTTTATGTTTCATTACACTACTAAGAATGAGTTAGTAGATAGTTTCCTATCATGGTAATTTTATTATCTTTAGTAATTATACATTTTTCAAGATTGTTAGGCTACCTGAATCTACTGATTTAATTGGTGGAGGTATCATTGCCGTTTTGAATAACATCTGTGTTCTAGTAATCTCCAGTATTTCAGGATGTACACGTATACCTTGTGGATTGGTTAGACTTGTCTAAAACAAAACTTAAATTCGTCTATTTTTTTAATGTTGTATAGAGTCTTCTACATTCAATGAATTGTAAAGTGATTATTAAAGCGTGGTATTTTCTGTTACTAATGACTTTTTATCAGTTATTGGTCTTTCTTGGTTTATAAACTGAGTGAATTTTACTATTCTCAAAATTGGATAGATTTTTTGAAGTGACGTGCAATGAAATACTATCAAACATTGTTCATTCCGATGTATTTGTATTAATTTGATTGTGTCAACCCATAACGGAAACTAATGTATCATACTAATAACTAACACACGGATCGATCATTATAATTCAATGGTTCAGATGAGAATACTAGTATGTTTTATTATCACGTTTCAGATTATTCACCATATAAGTTCTAAATAGCATGAAACGTATACTCTTTGGCTTACACTAATAAAAATACAATACGCTAGTAAAATTGATATAAATATAAACTGATTAGTAGATTACTCTATTTGCAACAACGCGATACTATTAGGTTTGCTTTTCAGACTAAATTATGAAAATTCTAATGACTATTTGAATACAAAAATATTTGTTATCGATATTGCATAATTTTGTTTAGAACTATTTTGTCCTAACATTGTAGATTCAGTTTATAATAAGACCATTTAATCTCGTCCATGTGTTCATTTTTCATTGGCTTACACAAATAACCTGGATTTAATTTGCTTTCTGCTTATTGGTCAGTTAATCATATATATATATATATATATATATATATATATATATATATATATATATATATATATATATATATATATATATATATATATATATATAAACACTTAATTTTATTATCGTATTCAGATTCGTGTGAATGCAGAAAAGCAATAAAGGAGTTGTACTGGTAACCGGTGGTTCTGGTTTCATTGGAAGTCATACAATTGTAGAACTGGTCAATAATGGTTATTCAGTTATCACTTTGGATAACCTAAGTAATTCCAGTATTAGTAAGTTTTTGCTTTTTATATCCATGTTATAGTTGAATTATTCACTGTTAAACTTGGAGTTACGTGTTAATTGTTGAATATTAATTAGTAAGTGATTTACATGTCCAGTACTTAGCTTGTCGCCTACTCTTTTTAATCAATTACTTTTTTTATTCGTAAATTCTACAATTTATTTTTCTATGCATTAAAAAATGTCGAGTTGTTATTCTTCATTGCTTACCAATGGAAGCGTCGGGTCAAAACTATTAGAATTGTTTTATTTGCAATTATTAGTGTCATTTTCAGAACTGCTGTGTGATACACCATCACAGGGCTAAGTACTAGGTCACAATTATCGACCTGGGCTAGGTGTGTTAAGGTTAATTTCATAAGGTAGCATGATTAACTGTATTGTTTCTGAGATAGTTATCAGTCTAGTAGGAAATCAGAATGTGAATTCTTTGACGAAGTTATTATAACAAAAGATTTAATTTTGATTCCCATAACTGCACTTAGATATATTGCGTGGTAGTTAAGTCTTATTGCTAACTCTGATGAGAAACTTATACGGAGACCGAATAAGACAGAATGCTACTCCACAACGTAATGGGTGAATGTCGCACTGGTCTGTTGTTTGCATACTTTTTTACGATACTCTGAATCTGTGTTGAGATTTTATTGAATGCCAAACTGGGGTTATTTGTAGAATTTTTCAAAGTGGTTAACATGCCCAACTACTTCACTTCATATTTTAAAATTCTGTCGAAATGGAGGGTATTTCTGGCATATCATGCATTAAATTGGTGAGAATGCACAAATTGTTTGCCTCAGAGACCGTATACCTTAATGATATTTTCAGTTAACAAACAACATCTCTACGACAGGTTATACATACCAATTGTTTCAGTGTGCTTCATATTACTTTTAATACAAACAAGGTTCTTCATAGTTTGGAATTTTCGGTTTAAATCTGTTTCTTAATTTAGTTCACTTTTTTGTGATATTACGGTGAATCATTTAATACGGCTGTGAACGTTTAGTGATCAACAAGATTAAAACATGGTACACCTATACAACACTCTATTACCGTTGCGTTTGATTCTGGTTAACATAATCGACTGAATGATGGTTTCGGGAGGCCAAATAAAACATCAATTTCAGTTCATTGACTGTTCATTTGAGCCATTCTGTGAGATATAAACTTGAGATTCCACATTATAGTTCCAAGCAATAGATGAGAACATTAGATGAAAGGGTAAAAAACCAGTGACAATAATGTAGTTGTATTCACCTAAGTCAGGATTTTCAATACAAATGTCAAGACAGTTCTACTGTATGAGGCAGAAACCTGGAGAACTACGAAAGCCATCATCCAGAAAATACAGGTGTTTATTAACAGTTGTCTACGCAAAATACTTCATATCCGTTGGCTGGACACTATTAGCAACAACCTAATATGGGAGAGAACAAACCAGAACTCAGAGCTGGAAGTGGATAGGACACATTGAGGAAAGCACCCAACTGCGTCACAAGACAAACCCTCACATGGAATCCTCAAGGTCAGAGGAGAAGAGGAAGACCAAAGAACACATTACGCCGAGAAATGGAGACAGACACGAGAGAAATGAACAAAAATTGAATAGAACTAGAAAGCAAGGCCCAGGACAGAGTGGGTTGGAGAATGCTGGTCGGCTGCCTATGCTCCATTGGGAGTAACAGGCGTAAGTATGTAAGTAAATTCACTCTTTATATTTTAAATCTTGAGTTCGGCTATTACTCAATATTATTGGCTGCTTCATTTGAATTATTCTATACAAACCAAATTTTTTTCTGTTCAGTACTCAAAAACATTGATGTTATTAGTTCGATTTTTGAAGCAAATTATACCGATTCATTTTTATGTCTGGGTCTTTCGCTATTGTTAACCGACTTATTCTTGTTGTTATTCAAATATTGAATGAATTAATTTTTTTTCAGATTATGTTATTTCAATGGATATCTTATTTTAATTTACAGAATGTATAGAACGTATTGAAAAAATAACTAATGAAAAATTACTTTTCTATGAAGTGAACTTATTAGATAAAAAAGCTGTGGATGACATCTTTGAAAAAGTATGTTCATTCATCTACCTATATGTATTTCTTTTGATAAATTGTTTAATAAAAACAAAGCAACACTAAACATTACTTGCAAAAATGATAATCCTACTAGATTTATGAAAATATCGTGATATTGAGCATTTTACGACGTTTTAATGAGTTTACTTATTAACTTTTGATTAAAAAGTCAAATTGTACTATGTAAGTTTAGGAATACACTGAGAATTTGTGAACATTAAAAATCAACCATGTTAGTTGTAAGATACTTACTCATTAATGATGCTGAAAGTCGGTCGCACAGTATCATGAAGTGAGTACAGTTAGAAATACAAATCATTGGATTCTAACTCAGTATTTTAAAGATTAAGCGCTTACAGTAAGACTTAAAGATTATAGATTTGATTTTCTATGAAGAATGATTTCAATTGAAAGACAAGAAATATTACAATGACTGTTGTTCCTTAGTTTTATAGTCTTCATTACTGTACAACCAATACGAAAATAGGAACCATCATCATGAATGAGCATTACTTCCAATTTGGTTCTTAGTAACCTGATAATCTTTTTTAAGACTAATGGAATAAATGTGTTTCTAGGTAAATTTGTCGACTTTTTTCGCTGAGATATTCTTCTTATTAGTATTGATATATCAGTTTATTTATGTTCACCATTCATTGTCCGTTCACTATTTTTTTATAATTTCAGCATAAAATTGATTATGTCATACACTTTGCCGCTTTGAAATCCGTATCCGAATCAATTGAAAAGCCTATACAATATTACAACAATAATTTAGTGGGTATATTAAATTTATTGCAGGTTAGTCAAATTAGACATTATTATTATTGGTGATGCTACAAGTAGACGATTGAAAATTGTGATGACTGTAATTTATAAACGACGTTTGAGCGACACCGATGACCTTGATGATGCCCACCTACTGACTAGAACTAAATGAGGGTAATAAAGCAATTTGAGAAATTAGAATTATGATTTACAGTTTATGATTAGGGTCAGAAACTAGATTTATGGTTTTCATCACGAGCTGACACCAGCTAAAAGACCAAAACTCTATTTAGCCAAAGGGATGAATGAATTTCGCGCCTAAATCCAAGACCTGCTATCTTATATCTGATTGATTCGTCCATAAATTATAGTCTCACCAAAATTGTTGATCACCAATTAACCCATCAACATAATGAGATTCATACATTTGATATTTCTATAAGTGTTTTCTTTTTGTGAAATGACACTTATAACTTGACTTGTTCGAATATCACTGTAATGTATAAAATAATGTGTATATCATATATTCTCTAGTCTTTTAGTATGTTACTTTTTTGTTCGCTTATTTTCTATTCAATCTAGAGTTTAATTGAAGTAAATACAATTTATTACATTTAATAGATATCAACAGATTTTTCATTTATATACATATATCTTATAACTTGTAAATACATTCTATGACTAGGATCAAGTTATGTTTGCGGGACGACACCACTAACTTTAAGGAGACTTCGATACTGGATACAATAAATCTTTTCTTGCTTGTTTCCAGCTATTTCAAAAGACAAATCTTGTAAAGAGGACTTACTAGAGACTAAATATAGTTAATTCAGCTGTATGTCGATTAAGTTTAATGATTGTTAACTAACGAAATTATCAATTGAGCAATCGTCACTTTAGCCAAATTCACATTAAATAAATCAACACAATGAAAATACATTGAAAATTGGTTAACCAACTTGATACTGAATGATCCAATACAATCGAAAATTTACTGGAAATAAATTTATTGCTATTATTGTGTAAGGATCACTTTACTTCAACTTATAAATTTTACGATTTATTTTCCCGTCATACCTTGTTTTAAAAGATTAGCACCTCCAACCCATCACCATGACTAGGGATTCAAATCTCTAGGAATATATATATATATATATATATATATATATATATATATATATATATATATATATATAGTCTGTGGTCTTCAAGTCTGTTAGCAAGCATATTGTCACTGCGAATCGACTCATTAGGTTAGAATCATTCTGTAAGAATTATTAATCACATATAGTTTTGAGACTTGAAAATAGTCGAGTGTGTAACGAATCATACATCAAATCAATTGAATCTTGTCAGATTCTGGTGTACTACTCAAAACTGTACATTTTGTATAAACAAGGAATTCGTAACGTTTTTAGGGGTGTTTTGTTCTCTGAGTTATTTGGTTCAGTCGCAAAGCTTTCATTGCCTTTCTTAACAAAATCATCAGCGCATATCTTAATAATAAGCGGGTTATCAGAATTTCTCCACAATTGACTAGCCACTTGTTTTGCCGATATAGAATTCGATTGATTGTTGTCTATAGGTGTGCGACCGCTGTTTGCATGTTCGCAGTGTCTCCACCTCTGACCTTGTAGTCATTTATCCTTTTTTGTTATTGGTTGGTAGACTGGATCAATCTCCATATGTCTGCTGGTCAGCGCGTTGCTAGAGAACTGTTTAGTTTTCTTCCTGTTTCATCCACCCATTAATCCAACGTTTTCCCAATCGAAATCATGTCAATAGTTGTTCACTGTCTCTGAATTTGCAAACTATGATAACATCGACCGACTTTTTTTGTTTACTACTATCATTATTCATGTGAATAACCGTAAACATTTTCAAACTGAAACAACAATATCATTGAGTTACGATTATGTGATTTAGAATTGTTTTCCATAAAATTTCTTATTCTCAAATGTTATAATACAGATTAATTTATTCGGCATCAAAATACCAGTATTTAAAGTGATGATCATTACCACTTAGAGGATAGTCTATGATTTATCTTAGGAACTAGTGTTACTTTATTAAATCTACCGTACCGTTTATGTTGTTTGAAATAATTTCAAACATAAATATCTCTCTTTATATGGGGTCTTGTAGAGATTATATATCTCGAAATGGATACTTGAAGTTAGTGTTTATTTTGTAGTTATAGTTATACTTGTAAACTAATTGTGTTTAGTTACAGTACTACTTAGAAATAGGATTTCCTTTGTTTTTAAATAAATATCATAGTTGCATATGTATAATTAAACAATTAAATTATTAATTTAATTTAATTATAAATAGGGAAATAGTGACGATACAGTTAATAACATATTAACTTATTGCCTACAAATTCTCTATATTTCAATCATTAATCGATTGAAACCATAGTTAATCAATCAGTCAGTTGAAGTTGTATTTTAATTGTAATGAAATGCGAAATATCGGGTTAATCGCATTGTTTTTTGTATGAACATAACACAAACAAAAACAAATAATCATGAAATATTGAAATTGTACAATAATTTAATTATTTATTTATTTATTTATAAATTAGAAAATAAAACATTCACATGGAAGATCAACTTTCATTTGTGATATTCAGTTAATTTATTGATTTTCAATTTTCCTATTAAGAAAATACAGTTTAGATTTTCACTTAATCGACTGACTATATAGTTAAGTACATCATATAGATGACCCGTATTATGATAATTGATTTCGAATATGGCTAAATCATAGAATGTTACTTATCATTTAGAAAATCATTCATTTTTTTACATGATCTGGGTGCATTTACTAGTCAGTTTTTGGCCATTAAACTTTATAATTAGTTACTAAAGTAAAGTAAAATCGTTATTAGTCAGTGGTAAATCAATCTATTAGAAAATATTTATGTAAACAACCATTGGAACACAATGAAGGAGTGGACAATTCTATTATCCTGGTATATGACTCTTTAGCAGTGGCAATCTTGCATTTCTAGTGTGAAGTTGTGACCAATGGAGTTGAGCCATATCGAATATAAGGCAGTTAGTCACTAATGTCATTAGGTGGTTGGATTGTACCAATAACTGATTCAAGTCAGAAACAAAAACCATTGGGTTCAAACTCAGTTGTTTAAAAGTTAAATACCCATTGTGAATTCTAAAAAAGATCCTCAGTAAGCTATTAGATACACACTGCCGAGAAGTCTTATACTAAAACGAAACGACTCTTAAGTTATTGTTAGTTTTCGCTGGGTTTTTTTTAAAGAACTAAATCCAGTCTGTGATATAAAGTCTGAAGTTTGATAGCCTCTACAAACACTATGCTAATAATCACGTACTAATATCTCGTGTATATATTTTTTTATTTAAAGAAAGGATTGAGGGCATAGAACTTCATTTTGTTCATCATTACTTGTATATTGTATGCGTATGATACATAGATTAAAGTATAGGATACCTAATTTGTTATACTCTTATGAATATTCAAAATTCTTTTATACTGTACGTACTCTACTAATTTCTAACTGTCTGTCTAAGTAGTTTTAATTTTTTCCAACTGATTAATTAATAGATAATTTCACACTGAACTGTTTGATAATCTTGTTTATGTTTCTTTTGATTGGGATTGTTTAAATAATAAATTTCACCTATGAAATTCAGTAGTTCCTCAGTTTATTATTTAATGCATAGAAAGTATACATTCTATCTGATCCAGACAGCACAATGGTGTTTTTATCAAGTAGTATTTTTCTACCGGAATTAAACAAACACTATCAAAATAATCGTATTTTGGGAGAACTAAGTCGAAATTGAAGCATGCAATGTGTTTATTGGCTGATGATATCACGACAAAAACAATTAAAGGAGAATACTCTTCTTATCCATTATATAGAAAATACAGATCGTTATACTTTTAGAGTTGCCTATACTTCACCAGTGAAGTATTTTGAAGGTTATTTCAATCTGAAGATGGTTTTCTTCACAAGGCGAGATCTTTTTTGATTTACATATAGTTGTTTTTAATGTTATCTGACACAAGGTTCTTGAAAGTGTGTACTTACAATTTCAACTTGTTCTTGTATTTAGTTTAGTGTTTATTTCATTATCACTTAGAAAAACACTTCATCTCCATGTATCGTTTCTGAAACAAATAACTAATGAAACAGTGATAATTGATTTCAACTTCCCTTTTTATGATTTTAATGAAACAAAATCTTTTAAATTATTTCCTATTCAGGTGATGATTGCGCATAATGTTAAAAATTTTGTTCTGTCCAGTTCTGCTACTGTCTATGGTGAACCTCAGTTTTTACCACTTACTGAAAAACATCCAATTGGAAATTGTCAAAATTCATATGGTAATACAAAACTTTGTTGCGAATTAATCTTGAAGGTAAAGTAAATAGTAGTATTACTAATACTAGTAATAACAATAGTTCTTGTTAATGCATTAACTGTAAAATTAGATTCAAAAAACCAGATCCTTTGATAAATTTAAACAGAGCAAGAACAACAAGGTTTGCAGAATTAAATAAATTCCTTCTATTTCACAGTTTCTCACCAGCTGCATACAATCTAAAATTACAATTAATAATATGAATATAATTATTAACAAATGTTTAACATACTTGTCCGTGAAGTTTAGATAAATGTTTATAAAGTAACCAAAATCATAATAATGGTATGAAGAATACCATTCAAAGGTAGACCAATACATTTCCTACATAACCTACAATCGTATTCATGAATTTACATATACCTGCTGTAGCAAGTACATAGGAAGGACAGAGAGAAGAGCCTTTACAACATTTTCTAAACACATTCCTAGGAACCTATGGCTTAAAAGGAGTTAATTCTTTTCATGTGCAAGTGCTAGACGTCTCGATACTGGATATGAAGTGAATGTAAGTGATGTATGCAAAATCATTGACAGACAAAAACCAATATCACTCCGTTTCGTAGAGACGATCGCTAACAAACGTTTCTGACTTGACCTATGTGTATACAAATAAAGTTTGATCAACCTTCTCCTTCTATGATGACTGAATATATGTCTAAGAACTTTTGCTAATTTTTTCTTTTCAACCTTTTTGTTTTTATCATTCTTTCGTTTTCTGCTATTCATCTCCTACATAATCTAATTGATGTTCACATATTTGTTTATTTTATCACTTAGTAATTTCATTATCGTTACATAACCTTTTAATGATTGATTCCCAGCGTATAAATACACATCGATGTTAACCACGTTTATTCATACACTTTGTGTCCCTACTTTTAGAATATTTATCTAAACTTCACAGACAAAAGTATGCCAAACATTTGTTAATAATTATATTTATATTAGTAATTCTAAGGACAGCTGACAGATGCATTCCAAGTAAGGATCGGAGTTAGACAAGGCTGTCTACTGTCTCCTCAACATCTGAGGGTAAACACAGTATACAATGGACAGCTAAGAACCAATTAGACGATTTGGACTTCGCAGATGACCTAGCCCTCCTATCGCATACACACGAACAAATGCAGATGAAGACAGCCAGTGTCGCAGCAGTCTCTGCATCAGTAGGCCTCAACATACACAAAGGGGAAACCAAGGTCCTCAAATTCAAAACGAAGAACAGCAATCCAATCACTCTTGATGTGGAAACTCTAGAAGATGTAGAATCCTTCACATACCTGAGAAGCATCATCGATGAACAAGGAGGTTCAGATGCAAACGTAAAGATAAGGATTAGCAAAGCAAGGGCCGCATTCCTACAATTGAAGAACATATGGAACTGAAAACTACTTTCAACCAATATCAAAGTGAGAATCTCCAATACCAACGTCAAGGCAGTTCTAATGTATGGAGCTGAAACTTGGAGAACTACAACAACCACCATCAAGAAGGTACAAATATTTATAAATAGCTGTCTACGCAAAATACTCAACATCCATTGGCCGGATACCATCAGCAACAGCCTTTTGTGGGAGAGAACAAACCAGCTTCCAGCTGAAGAGGGAATTAGGAAAAGACGATGGAAATGGATAGGATACACATTTAGGAAATCATCAAACTGCATTGCGAGGCAAGCCCTAACTTGGAATCCTGAAGGGAAACGTTAAAGAGGAAGGCCAAAGAACACATTACGTCGGGAAATGGAATCAGATATGAAAAGGATGAATAACAACTGGAATGAGCTGGAAAGGATTTCTCAGAACAGGATTAAATGGAGAATGCTAATGAGCGGCCTATGCTCCCTCACGAGGAGTAACAGGCGTAAGGAAGTAGTGATTCTAAGTTGTGTGCAGCTTATAAGAAACCGTGAAATAGACTGACGAATTCATTTTATTCTACTAACCTTGTTGCTCCTGGATTTAGTTTTATTCATATCTTTCTAGTTGAATTTCTCTGAATTATAGTGGATGATTGTTAGTGTTCTCGTTGAAACTTGTGAATGTCATTCACAAATCGTTAGACTAACTTAAGTCTCAAAGTGATTAATGCACAATCTAATTTTTAATTAAAACTAATGTCTGTATTTAAAGTGACCGGTAGATTTGATTTGTTTCTGATAATTTTAATATAAATGATGACATTTGAAAAAAAAGTGGAATTCATCAATTTTATTCAACAACTTTCGAAGGTATTTGTACCATTTTTTTAAAGCTTGTTTTGATCAAAATCTGCAATTAGTTCTATATCTGAATAAAAAAATAGTGTTTATTATGACCAAAATATGGTGACTTTTTTATATTGACTGTAAATTGACCTAATCAATGATCAGCCAATCCTAGTTGTAATAATAGTACTAGTAACCGTAAAATTCATAATAAAAAATCAATCAAAGTTAGGACATAATAAGCAATAGAAAAACTCGTGTCAGGATAAACTCAATACACATATACCTCTGATTTTATTTGACGTGTTACAACTGTATGTATTACGTGAATAATTTAATGGTATTATGGTTTAATATTTTAGTATTTATATGTTTATGGTAATGAATTATCGATTTCACCTTATTATTAATTGAACTAAACACAATTAATGCCTTCTTTTTCATTCTTTACATTATTTATTTATTTATTTATTTCAACACATAAATAATGGTACAAAGAGGCACCAAATACATATGCGCCACACAAATCTCATTCGATATGTGTGAGGGCTGTGATACTGCCCGGTGCCCAAACCGAAGCAGGTGGTTTTCTTAGGGGGCCACACCCCGAGCCTACGACCTGAAGGTCTGATCCACAAGGCAGTGGAGCATCGTAAGGAGATGCAGTCCCATGGAAGCCGGTGACCAACAATTGGTTCATTCGCCATTTGTTCCCGCGGGATACTGGAGCCCATGTGCACCATTGGTTTGGAATCCAGTTAAAGCGCCGGACATTCGCTTTTCGTCCTCTCATTTTCGTAAACAACACCCCCGCCACGAGAAGGCAGTGAGCAGGACTTCCCTGGCAGAGGCTATATACGCGTGGCCGTGTGAGAGTATTTCGAGAGGGAGAGCGGACTCTTCCCACTCTCGGCCGTACCGTTTGTTAAACTCCATAAAATCTTCATTAACTTTTCATCTAAATTGACCATTATTTCCAATTACTAATAATCAAATATAGTGACATCTATAGGGCATACTTATTCTTTCCAAATGATATATCTTACTCTTAATTAATTCCTAATTTTGTATACTTTTCATTGAATATTATTCCTGTTAAGGATTTATATACGTCTGATCCTACATGGAATATTATAAGTCTACGGTATTTTAATCCGGTTGGTGCACATGCCAGTGGATTAATTGGTGAAGATCCACGAGGAATTCCAAATAATCTCATGCCTTATGTGACTCAAGTAGCCAGTGGTTTATTACCTTACGTAAATGTTTATGGAAACGATTATCCAACAGTCGATGGGACAGGTTAGTATCCAGAATTTATTCATGGACTGATGTTTTTATGTAAACAAAGGTTATTAGTTTCTTTTCATTACACTCATCACTTCAGAAGCCATTGAAGATATAAAGAGGGTAAAAATAGCATTTTTGAATGTTTATTCTCAAAACAGATGTGTGATTGGTCTAACTCTTTTGGCAAATGAGCATCCTAAAGAGATCATCTTAACATTACCATTAAGTCAGAAGCATTTTTAGGCAAAGTTGAATAATGGCCAGTATTATATTTATGTATACAGTGATTAGAGTGTAAACAGTATTATTCACGTAATAATGGATATAAAGAATTTGAAGGGAAATCAAATAGATATTGTTACTAGCAAGTTATTATCATATATGAAGAATTAAAGTATCGTTGGGACCACAATGATATGAGATGTTGAACATGTGGCTTTCGTACACGATGTGAAAGTCTAAACATTAAAAACCTGAATATCTTTCAAAGAGAGTATCATAGTGAAAAGTAAAGTTTTTAATCACCTCATTTTACTCACTTTTTCATCTTCACAACTTTACTGGGTTTTTTTCCAAAATAGTTCAATGAAACTGTTCGATACACTGAAATTATTAGAATTGTTGTTAATATTTTTGGTTATTTTAAAAATAATGATCGAATTAGTTCATCATGTTTAACATTATTATTTCTCCTTTCACACCGTTGTTTAGGTGTTCGAGATTATATTCACGTTGTTGATCTAGCTGAAGCCCATACTAAATCATTGGATAAAATCAAACAGAATTGTGGTTTCAAGGTATTTATTTCTCTTTTTTAATAAAAATTGAATATGTATACGTGTATGTTAAATAAGGTTTGGTTTGATATTGATAATTTAATATTGTTTCTTTGATATAATATCAAATACAATTTTTATTCACAAATTTATTCATAAATTCCTCTCTACTTATATTCCTTACTGGATAACTCAATCAAATAGCTTTAAATAAAATGTTTTATGCATAAAAATAGTTGAAATCATGAGTCGATTGAAGCTAGACAACCATGGAAAATCTGGAAGCGCTGGACTGCCGTTTTGTCCTAGTATGGGACTCCTCAGCGGTGCGCATCCACGATCCCGCCCCCTGCGAGATTCGAACCGAGGACCTATTAGTCTCGCGCGCGAGCGCTTAACCACCAGATCACTGAGCCAGCCGGCATCCAACAGTGTTAATGTCTAACTTTAACCAATCCACGAAGTTGCGCCACCGTACACCATTGTATTCAGTGAGTTGATATCTCACAACAGACCTGGTTGAACTCCAATGGTAACGGCTTCTCACTAGAACTCCTGGATATACAACTTGAAGTCAGTCACCAGTAAGCAGTTGATTATTGTCAGAAGGGGTTTTGTGGAGATTTTTAGAAATTTCAATAGTTGAAACCATGAGTCAATTGAAGCTAGACGGCCATTGACATAAAAAAGACTGAAGTTTGCTGCTAATCATTATTTTTAAACATACCGAAGATTATACATGACAATATTAAACTATTTCTAATTTAGTATATGATAAATATTTTTCGCATTTGTATAGTCGAATATTATAAATATTGCAAACTTGTACTATTAATATGTGATAGTCTAGTTTCCTATGACCTTTTGTTATATCTATAAACAACTTTTCATATTAACTAATCTGTACAGATTCAAATGACATCCTATCTTGTGTACAGTTTAACTGTAATGATCCCTCACAACCATTGTACATTTAAGTTTATTCAAATATAGTTCTTTCATACAGTCTTTAGTTATTTGGTGATAAATGTCTTTTTTTTATAAATTTGTTAAAAACAACTAACAAACCTTATTTTATCAAATTCAAACAATACGCTTTGCTCAAAAATTTCTCGTCTACTATTTACCTAGTATAACAAGACTCAAGTACATTAGAAACCATACTCACTAAGACTGAAATATAAAAACTTTACGATAATTTATATAGCAATTATATACTATGCAATAAGAACTTTATGAAATTAGATTTAGGCGTGGTTAGAGATACATACCTGTGAATCATTCTGGTAAAGAATCTCTAATTTATATTGAATATATATATATATATTTTACAAGGTTAATAGAAAATGTAATAAAATTATCGATCATGCGACTTAGTTACTAAGAGTTAAAAGCGTGAACCACTAAATTACTACTGGAAACATTTAATATTCAATAAAGCAGTTATTATTACTCTTGTGTCTGACGTAACGTTGAGCTGTATTTTTTTCTAAGAATAAATGAACTTTCAATGAAAGAGATATTTTAAAAATTCATATTTCGAATTACAGTTATCTACTGTAAAAGAGTTGAACAATCTTGTTAACGGATCAAATATCATCGATAATAAAAACAATTAGTAACATAATTACATAATTACAAATTATTTTGAATAAATGAGCTATGGCTATTCTAGACCAACCAAGCTTACTTAAGAAAATGAATTTATTCAATATTTTGTTATTGTTTTTTTTTGTTAGGTTTATAATTTAGGTACAGGGCAAGGATGTTCTGTATTACAAATGATTCAAGCGATGGAAACAGCAAGTGGTAAAACAATTCCTTATACAATATGTTCAAGACGACCTGGTGATTGTGCAACTGTTTATTCAGATGCATCATTAGCTAAACAAGAGTTAGGATGGGAAGCAAAATATAACATTGATGTAAGTGTGATTATGTGTAAAGAATGAAGAAAATAAATTGATTCGACCAGACTATAATGTATGGACAGACCAATCAAATTTAAGATAAAAAGTCCTGGATTTTTGCTCGAATTTCATTCGTTTATTTGGTCAAATGTCATTTTGGCATTATAGCTGATGTCAGTTCGTGATGAAAACTCTAACTATAATTTCTAATCCTAACTTCTAACTCTAAATCCTGATTCGAATTTCTTACATCAATTTACAACCCTCTTTAAACCCTAATAGGTAGGTGAATTTTCTTAAGGTCACTCTGGTGTCATTCACAAGTCGTCCATAAATTATAGTTTCACCATTTATTCTTCCACGTCATATTCGGCTTTCGCTTACAAAAATCGTTCTCAATGGATAAGTTCGGTTGAATTGTGTTGTTGACTGCTTTTTTTTATTTCCGTGACTCTCGCTGAGCTGCTAACCTCTTAGCATAAACATCGGTAGAACTTCTTTTCACTGTTGTATATAAGTGAATCGAACTAGTTAATTTCAGTAGGATTTTACATGATAACTTATCGATTAAAACAGTTAAATACTGTAATGAAGCAACTAAAAAATCAACAAAATGTGTTAAGATAGGATGTGGCTAGCAGTTGAATACAACACACATGATTCTTCCTATTCTTGACTCGTCGGTTGGATATGCCTGCATCCCAGAGTTGATGTTCACTCCGAGGCTATATCAAAACAATCTGTACAGGATGCCTATATGCCAATCAAGACTAATCGAATTTCAGTCAAAAATATCAACAGGATAATACAAACCGTTTCTAGTTGCACTATATTGGAATGACCTTTTATTTCCTGTGTTGGTTCCACTACCCTACAGCATTCTTGATCAAAACATATTTTCTCTTGCTGATTAAGTCAAATAATTAATGATTAGATTATCTTGTAGTGAACATTTTATGATATAAACTAATAAAAGCCTTATTTGAATCACAGAACTACTGAGATGACATTCCATCGGTTATTTTATGAAACTCACTTGTTAATTAGACAACAATTTTACCTCTGTCCACTGTTTATTTTTTCTACAGTGAACTTTTAAAAAAATATCATATTTAACATCAACTAATTGTTGTAAATATGAAAATCTTATTGTTTGTGAACTCTGATTGACAGGTAACTAGAATTTAAGACTAGTAATAAGATATCCAGTTTTCTTTATTCCGGTTAGCGCTTTTTTGATAAAATTGTTTTCTATGGGATGGAGATACTGAACCCATACTTAAGCCTCCTCCTTTACCCGAACTTTTGACTGATATTAACCCTAGAAAAGCTACAGGCGGAGTTAGAATTATAAATGCTATGAATATATTTTTATATTTATTGAAACATCTATTTGGATAACGCTAGCAACTTAATGTTATAGCCATTAAATGATACATTTATTTTATATGTGAATTAAGATATAATCGTTTTAAATGAAAATATTCTACTTCATTATACGTCTTGATTTTATATTACTGAATCGAATAATTAATTATTTAGTTCCTAATTGTAGTCAGTCATACCATATTTTGATTTGAAATATGATGGTTTCATCATTATAGTTTTTATTTAGTTAAATACTGTAAGAATCATTGAACAATGATTCATACTTCATCAATTTCAATTTAGCTTAATATTTATAACCGGGTTTTTTTTCTAAATAAAACAGTTGACAACCAGTGAACAAGTCCATATATGGTTTCTATATTAAATCGAACTTTTTTTTCTGTATACTCGATTAGATCATTATTGTGCATTGTTTTCAATATAAACACATTTATAGATGAGACATCACACTACTGTCTATCGTTGACGGCATGGATCTGGATAATAATAATAATAATAATAATAATAATACTGATATTATTATTATTCTTTAAAGAATAAATTATAAATCAACTTAATATATCAACATTTGAAATGATAAAATAAACAGATTAACATTCATTAAATAAAGTGAATTATAAACATTCCATGATAATTAAAACTGATCAAACTATAAAATGTTAAAGTATTATAATCACTGCATATTTGTTCATTGTCGATTTAAGATTTTTTCTAAAAAAAAAAAACTAATATAATTACTGGTTTCATCATATAAAAGTATGTTTTACTAATAATGATAGAGAAAACTATTTAGTATGAGCTGTAGTGTTTGTTATTATATTAAGCTCATATATCTTATTCTAGCTTTCCGATAGGCCAGTCTACTCACATTCTACTTGAGTCTTTTTTTTACCTTGTTAATTATTCGCTTACCAATCTTGACTGTTTTTATATGAGCGCATACGTGTGTGTACATTTCTTATCCTATTCATCACATGTCTGTAGCTTATTTTTGTCTGACTATAAATATTGATTAACTCTTGACTAGATGGGAGTTGGCTTATCCGCTATCTTCACTGCGCGTCGTTTGGCTTTTCTCTATTCTATTCGCTCCATATACAAAATATACGTATTTAGAAGTCCATTCTCGTTATTTGACTTATTTATTTCCGTTATTGATTAACGCGATTTAAGTCGATGATTATATACGAGGATAAGCGAAATATGTATTTCAATAACAATCATTCATACGATCAAATTGGAGTCAGATTCCGGGCCATTAAAGAGCATTTAATTATCCCAAAAAAAATCAAATAAATAAGATCTGATTAAAGTTTTAGAATTGATTTACTTTTACAATTAAAATGGTTTGTTATATAATTCAAACGGGATCAACTTCTGAAGTTAGCCTTAGTAAATTAAAAATTGTGGTTTTAGTATATTCATATGTATTTAGTGTTGATTTACTCAAGCTACATTAGTATCACTCTCAAATCTTATAGTTTATTAACTTTTCAGTATTCATTTGTATGTATTCAATCGAAGGAAGTTGTTTTGTTTCTTTTAATTAACAAGCTTTCTAAGTTAATTAATATAAATTAAAATTGTGTAAATACTCATTGTAATGAAGAGGAAAACTTCTCTGTTTATAATAGTTTTTGTAGGACTAATTATAAATGATGAATGAGTTTTGAATTGTTAAAGTGAAATGAATAGAATCCTGACTGATAGACAAACATAATGATACAATATGCGTATGAGACCGAATGGTTAACTCAAATAATTGAATAAATAAACACCAGATATAAGACTATTAGCCATAAGAATAAGTTTTTTTATTGAATAAAGTAACATGGTTATATGCAAATTATCAACAGATAAATAATGAGTGATAGATGTCATACATGGTTGGAAGAAATCACTATTCTAGGTCACTCGCTTCCCAATAAATTATGACCCACTTGTTATACTGAATTCTTCGTTCATATCAACAATAAGTTTTTGATCAAATCTTCAAATACTTAATATGCAATTATTAGGTTGCAAATGTAAGTTTCGCCCCACTTTTTTGTTAAAGTAATCGGGTACACACAATACATTTATAAAGTAGTAGGTTATAATTAGTCCAATTCCAAGGTTTACCACTTTCGATAAATTAGATTTTATTATTAAATGTAGTTTCTTGAGATCCTGGTGGAATAAAACCTGTTTTTGATTGAAATCATGAGCCGATCGGTGTTAGACCACCGTTGGGAACGGTCGTCCAGTGCTTCCAGGCTTCCAACGGTGGTCTAACATCAATCGGTTCATGATCTCAGTCAAAAACTTAATAATCTCCACAACCCCTATGCTAAAACATGTTTGTCCAGTTATTTTTACTTAACTTCATCTCTTTTATTTTAAACAGAAAATGTGTGAAGATTTATGGAATTGGCAGGAGAAAAATCCACAAGGTTATCTTACTTCAACACATTCTAATGATTGATTGATTTTCTCAGGTTTTACTTAATTTGTGCCTTTTTCTTCATTTTCTATTTTATGTAATATCTTTGGTTGCGAAATTTTGTTTCGTATGGGCTTTCTCTTAAATTAATTTGTTTTTATCAGGGTTTTTTTATGATGATTTCGCTTAATATAATATGTGAATAAAGTTTTTCTAATAATACAGTTGGTAGTTTTTAGAGAATTTCATAATAAAAGTAGATATATTATTTGTCATGCATCGTATTAAGTTGAAAAAATATCTAGTAACCAGTAATTATTGAGCAATTTAATTTCTATAGACCCCTTGGTGACTTCTGTTATCCACACTCTAGTGGATTAAAGCTGAAACCCCATAATCTTGTCGAAAATACATCATGCTACTGGAAATTAATGCTGCTGTCGAAATGTATTCATTTCGCGTTTGTTATAATAATAAATATTCATATTGTGCATTGTAATACTATTTCAAATCGAACTTGAATCCAATGGTGTATTCCGTCTTAACTATTCTTCACCGAACATTTTTTGAGGGTAGATTCAGCAGTTCACACAACTTTGTATGCGAAATTACCTTTTCTTTTCTGTCTTAACTTTTTTATATAAGAGTAAGCGGTTTTCTCGGGGTCTTAAGTGCAGCTACACAAGTTTCAAGAGTTTACATATTCATGAATGCGTATATTTTGGCTAAATAACATGTCAACTTGAATAAACTAATGATCTACTTCTTTGTTCAGTGGCTGATATTAATTCGTCTTAATTTATGTTTGTTTGAAACTGTTAATTTTAGGATGCTGATGTCATAAACACGATTTAATACTGTTGATTTGGGAACTAAAGTTGTGCTGCCGCATCAAACCAGAATTACACCCATAGTTCTTTTATTATGTTTTCTCATTCAAAAGTTTCTGAATTTCTGTACGTCTATACTCGATTTCGTATTGTCTATTTTTGTCAGATCAATACCTGAACATAATTTTTAATTCCGGAAGGATTCATGACTTCAGATATGTACTATTAATAAATGTAAAGAGGTTACTATCACTAGCCTACTCGACCATCAGAAACTGCTATAAAGGAAAGCCAAACATGGTTCTAAGAATTTCAAGATTTAGAAATTTATATTGAATCTCAACCTGAATAAATAAGTCAACAGAGTTATGTATAGCAATGGTGGATAAAGTATAATTGAGAGTGCTACAATATGGTTACTTGGGGTTTCGGTATATGGTCCTCAAAACCATCAACATGAAGCAAGAAGTTAAATATTTGCAAAACTGATGAAAACCATCGGTTTAAAGCTGGTGTTTCGTTCTTATATACTGCTCAGAATAAAACTTGCTGGGAAATAGACTCGTTCCAAACCACAGACTGTGTGGAAATGTTAGCATCAAAGTTGTGAGACTGTATTAATTTCTCAGAATATAATCAAGATTTAGTCCCTGAATAATGGGACATCTTTGAGTCAATATAGAACAAATTTGAAAACTGGTCATTGTAAACCAAATTTTAAGGACTTTAACATCTTAGTACTCACGGTAACTGCCCCATAAACACTATTTGTCAAGGCATTTCTGAGTAGTTAATTCTCAAAGAATACATCTAAGATCACAAGCCGACATAAACTAGACAACTGCTGAAAACCAAGAAGCAATTAATAGGTGTTTTGACGTAATACACGTCACCCTAGTAGACCGTGTCTACCGCTTCATCGGAGTGGATGCCGACTCAATTATTTCATTGATAAGTACTTTCCGCGGGGTCTAAAAGCTTTTGTTAGACCATCGATCGGATTAAAGATCCCCACTACTAGTGAGTTTCATACGAGGAGGAAGCAATTATCCAGGTTTTGATGAATGTCTTGCTTAAGTCAGTTCACGGTCTCAGTAATATCTAAGTCTTCGCAAACCCTTGTACTTCTAAAAAATGGTCAATTTGGGCCATCTTAGTACTTTAATCATGCTTATCAAAAGCAGTTTGTAATTATTACTGCATATCGTCAGAATGGGTTCTGTGGAGATCACTGAGCCAGCCGGCATCCAACAGTGTTAACGTCCGACTTCAACTAGTCTACGAAGTTGCGCCACCGTACACCATTGTCTTCAGTGAGTTGATATCTCACAAAAGACCTAGTTGAACTCTACTGGTAACGACTTTTCACTAGAACTCTAGGGGTGTCTTCTTAAGTCAGTCACTAGATAGTTAAGCGCCCGGCGCGATACCGATAGGTCCTCGGTTTGAATCTCGCGGGGTGCATGATCGTGGATGCGCACTACTGAAGAGTCCTATACTAGGACGAAACGGCCGTTCAGTGCTTCTAGGTTTTCCATGATGGTCTAGCTTCAATTGACTCATGATTTCAACCCGTGAAATACTACATATCAGTTAGCTTATGCGAGTTGAAAGAGTTTTTTTATATCTGTCGTGGATGTTACGTTTCGAGTTTGCTGGTTTAGTTGTTCAGATGCTGTTGTCATTTGAATTCGGAATGAAACGTCCTGAATCAAATTAGAACTTTTTCTGGTTTACTGTTCTCGTATGAACTGGTTGATGAGCATAATTATTACGAGTATTTTATACGAAGTATATGCTCCTTTACGCTTGTTTTGGTAAAGCTACTCCAAATATCTTGTATTTAGGAGACATGAATAAACACACTTATGATTGTAGTGTCTTAGCTTTGTTAATCGATCACCTTGATAATCGTTATTATATAAATCCCAATAATGTTTGAAACCAGAAGGCAATAAGAAACGGCTACTACAGTTTATTAGCGGATAGCACAGACAAGAAAGCTACAAGCACATTTAGCGAATTTAAAGCGGAGAGGCGAATGTGTGTGTGCGAGCAAATACAGAAGCGAATTTACTGTCAAATCGAATAAGGCTCAGCTATGCGAGGCAAAATCTATTAACGGGATTCGAGTACATGTATACATGGAGAAGAGAATGATTCATCAAGTGATATTTAAGCTAGCGTGAGATGTGTGTAGGCTGTCATGTGATCAAGAGTACACGTTTATACAGACAAAATATCGATCGTAAGAGTATAAAGAAATATGCGAATTTTTGCTGTTCGAATGGCTGCAATTAAACGCAACTCAATTTCGTAAATGTGCTCTTCAGCTTAGCAACCAATCAGAATGTGGCGGGAATTATTATATCCGCCATCTTTGTACGTAATGGCGGCCGGCTTTCTTCGTTCTGTGCTTCTTTTAGCTATTTCTTTTGTGTAGCTATGTAATTAATGTTTCAATGTGCTAAGATGCCGCAGTTAGTGTAATGTTCTACATGTTGGTGTGAAATTTACTTCGAATCAGCATTGTTTTTTGGGTTTTTGCTGCTTCTACTCTAGTCAATGTAATTCTTCAGTCAAGCTGGTTAGTCTTATGTTTTAAAATGGAAATCGGTTTGGTTTTGACTTGTTTTCTAAATATCCAAAGCCGAAGTTCGTTTTTTCTTAGCTGAAATAACTGTTTGCTGCCTCCTGTGACTAACTGTCCACATGTTCATTCCTAACCGTACTTTATGATGTTATCGGCAAAATGAAAGGAAACAATTTACGGTTTTTAATTTTCTTCAGTATTGCGGACAAAAATATCCCACAACGAGTCAAACTAATACTTAGTGCCTAGCAGTATGGGATGTCAGTATTGTTTTCGAAAGTACCCAGGCTTCCGACAACCATAGACGAAGTCACAGATGCTACCAATCTATTGCAGAGGGTTTGTTATGAAAAAATATGCCACATAGCAGTAATGGAGGGGGTATACGCATTACGTAGTGCGTTAAAGCAAGCTTAACATTGAAAAGCCGGAAATCTGCTATCAGTGTGTAGTGTATGTTTGGTGTTTTGGCCACAAAAGGAATCCGAAGGGTCACGATCAGAAAGTAAAAAGGTAACTAACTGTTATTAAGCTCACCTTTTTATAGACCATAATTCACCACTCGCAGATTTGTGTTTTTTACGGTGTCATGTCAACCGTTATCGAATATGTTCACCCTTACGATGAAAAGTACCTGCAAATTCTCACCTTCATATTCGAATTATTTTGGGACAACTGTCTTCCAGTTTGAGTGCTTCGTACGCCCTGGGAGACTAGATTCCTACGTTATTCACAGTTCCAGTATAACATTCTCACGCAGTAAGTTCAAAGTAAACACTAGTCTTTCTAGATAAGCATGTTAAACTAATATTCGTATTCTCTATTTCAGTTGATCGATGAAGACATGTACCACGTGCATCTGCTGTATATTGCTATTTTACTCCATTTCTAACTGTTATATATCTTCTGAAAAATAAAATTGCTCTATGCAGCAAATACAGACTTATTGTTTTGATGGTGATAGGTGGGTTCATGGGATTTTTAGCAGGACTGTAGTAATATTCTCAATAAAAAGCCGAGTGCGTAGACCAATGTAAAGTACCATACAGGGTGCCTTTGAATTACTCGTCTTCCATTAGTGTCGGTAGAAGCATTACTTGCTTATCATATGACATTTGAATAAGAAGCTATGAGATTAGACGCAGGGACGGTTAGGATGTGTAACGCGTGTCCATCCATCAGTTTTCGTGGCAACTCATGGTGGCTAGAATAAGTTGTGAGAGGACCCGAGCCTGTAGGTTTCCCGAGAAAATGACGGATATATGCACCAAATCACCTTATGAAGAGCGCCTTTAATCACTTAATCTCTACTCATTAAAGTATAGACGTCTTAGATGTGACCTATTTACTTACAGGATCCTCAACACTTCTGGACATTCTCTTAAACACCTACATGAGCTTAATCCCAGATACTAGAGACACGACGAAGCAGAATGGACTGTAGACGCAACTTCTACTCGTTAAGAGTTGTCGGATGCTGGAATTCGCTGCCCGCCGAACTAGTCCAAGCGACTTCCCAGGAGTCCTTTGGGAGGCGACTGGATCTTTTATTGTTAACATACCTAGGTTCCTGCTTGGAGGTTTTGGTGATCCCCTGCTACTAGACACGGAAGCCTGAACACATGAATTAGGTGATGAGAGGCTCGATTATCACAAGTTTCTTGCAACGATTAAGTATGTAAAACAAAGTAGCATTAGGTTCAAAAATTTATTCGAGAACTTTCATTAAGAATCGAATATCAAACAAAGGTTTAAACCAAGTTCCAGTCTAAAAGTTGCATTTGTAATGTTAAGCTGCAGTTTTTGTTGTTTTTCCAAACGAAGGGTAAAAGAAGTAACTCAAAAAGTACTGGAAGTGGTTGTGAAACTAAAATGAACGTCCAGCATCCTTTTTATAATCTGCTGTTAGTTGGGTCTCCAGTAAACAGGGCCATAGTTCCAAGTGCGAAATAGTTTTTAGGATTTGTGAAGGCTCAATCCTGTTGCATTCTAAATGAAAAAAATAGTGATGAATTTAGTCAGAAATGTGGAATAGATAAATAACCAAATTACATGTTTTTTAGCAAAGAATTTATGCAGTTGTGATTTACCTTTAGTTCATGAATATTAGGTCAGGTCAGCTATTACTTGTGCAAAGCATAACATGGACCTAATACCGTATCTCAATGCTTTTATTATTTTGCTCTCTTTTAAGTATTACCGTGTATCTGCATCTAGTTTAACAGGGAGGCATACAAGCAGAGTTAGTGTTTGATGAACTAAAAGTCCTAGTAGTCAAAAAGATTCTTAACATTTGTCCACAGCCAACTGCATTTAATTGAGATACAGAACACTCATCTTCTAAGACGGAATACTGCTCTTCTGTGGGCAAATAAAAGCTCACACACTTAGCTATCCTGCTACCGATGTTATTGCTGGGGAAATTGTTTAATGACAGTGATCATGAAATATGGTCAGTGATAGATGTACAATCTAGAAATAAACACCAAACATACTTATCGCTATCTTATAATGTATGACAGCAACAGTACCAAAAGCACTTTTTTCCTATTTTTAATCCGACTGATTTGAATCAGTATACTCATCAGAAACAGGCAACTCTACTTACTAGGCTGATCTGTTTCGTTACAGACTTCAAGCACTATACTTAAGTATACCATAATTCTTTCAACTAAAATGAATTATACAACAACCAAGAATACTAAACTAAGCAAGTGTCATAGTTATTGTTTCATTTGTACAGGCATATTGCTTAAAGTATTTAAATGGACATAATTAAGACTATAAAACAAAAACACGAAATGTAGGCCAATTGAACTTACCGAACGGAAGACAAAGAATATATATATTGCTTAAAGATTGAAGACAACAAGCATTTGTTCATAAAAACATAGTTTATAGTACAATAAACCTTTCTACAGTAAAATCATGCACTGACAGTCTATCTGGAAACAATCAACTATGTGAATAAACTCACTATGACTTGAGATATCATCCCAGTATGCAATGTACGTGCAGTGTAACGCAGTCGAACGTGGCGAATAAAAATATAAAAAAAGATCAAAATTAGCTATATAATCTAGTTATTTTATTAAAAATACATTATGAAATGACAAAATCTGTGGTTACTTGAACGCACAGATGACCGATACATTAAGTTTACATGGTTGCGTTGCGGATAAGATCACCCGTTCGAATAGCATTGTCTGTTAAGTAAGTTAATAAAAGGGCTCAACAAAACTAACCATGATCAAACTTGAGTGCAGGAGAGTTGCTATATGACATTAAAAGTTGTCCATAAGTATATAATTTATATGTCAACACAATGTGAAATTTGTGACGAAGCATTACTGAAGCACCAAAAGGACCTCATTCTTATGTCAGGTTACCGTCTACGAAAGAAATCCAACCGAATAAACATCATTAGCTGATTATCTCAAAACTGGGCTGTTTTCGTTCTGTTATTATTATTATTTAAAATGTAGTATCGGTAATGTCAAGAACAACGGAAATTAATTTCAGAACGCTGTGAGAATCGGTTGTTTTCCATTTATCGTTTCATAAATCTGAGCCATTGATACTCACTAGAAGCGTTTATCTGGCAGTCAGATATGAAATGATTTGCGTCAGATGTGACGATCTAAATTCTCACACATAGCCACACTGAAGTGAAAAAGTTGAATACTTTCAGCTCATAGTCGCCGTGATGAACAACAATCTCAGGGTTGCTCGGTCTCGAGTTTGTTTAGTAATGATTCTAATTGGTTTCGCATTCCAAATACAATACGTTTGGTCGTGCTCATCTAATACTTCCTGGTTGAATTGCTTTATTTCTGGGATTCTTAGTTTTTACTATAATTCAAATACTCATATTCATCACATTGGCGTTGCGATTGAGCCTTTTATGTGATGGATGCACTATAATTCAAATACTCATAATCATCACAAACAAGTCTTCAATTATAGATTTTGAATTTCTCATCACTGAACGTGAACCATCTACATTGGGTGCAGAAATTTTAAGAGGCAGCTTTTCACTCGAAATTGTTCCAATGAACTGCTTGATAACTTGCTATTGACGGAATTGAGGTGCCAAAAAGTAGGAAGGACTCCAAAGTCCCTTCTTTCTCATGTTAAAGTATGAAACCCCAAAATCTTGAAAACAAAGGTCAATTATACTACTGCTGCAAATTTAGAAGACCGAAAATGGAGAGGAAAGAAAGCTACACAGTGCAGATGTATTAGACCTTCCACAAAAGAAACAACATTGAAATTTCTTTAAAAAAATGTATTCGTAAAAGATTTCGAACCTTTTCAAATAATCTTTTCAAAGCATCAAAATCTGAATGTGTGTCCGACCATCCCATCACGTGCTCAGTAGGGACGACGATGTGGTGATTATGTATGATAATTAGGAGTATTTGAATTACAGTACGAACTAGGAATCCCAGACATAACGCAACTGGATCAAGAAGTACTAGATAAACACGGACAACTGTACTGTATTTAGAATCCCAAATCATGCATTCAACAAGTAAAAAGGATTCTTTGTTTCATACAAGCAATACATTATGTCCGTTTTTTACAACATTTTAAGTTTGTGTAAACGTTGTCATTACATAAAGAAAGCTAAACAGAATTGCGTTTCTCTTGTATTGAGTGAAGTAATGGAGCTCAACATTTAGAACGCCTTGATTATCATACACAGGGTGGCTTGAGAAACCAGACCTCATCACTATACTACAACAGATTATGAAGTGATCAGTTTTTGATGTACGGAATAACAAAAAATAATTTTGGACCGGACATTTCCTCTCTGTTTTCTCCTCTCAGATCAGGATAACTCATAGGACATAGAAGGCGTGCACAAGAACGACGAAGGAATACATTACCTATGACATACAGGTTTTCATACCAACTCATCAATTCTTGGGATTTTTTGCACAAAGATGTGGTATCTGCTTCTTCAATTGACTCATTGAAAAGAAAGACAGACAATCACAGAAGCTTACTGGAAGAGGACTAAAATAGGCCGTAGGCCCACTGTACCCAATACACAAATACGAGTCTGTTTGGAAAATTCGCAGCGGGCTATGTAAACCGTTTGCTACGTGATCGGAAACTGGTGACGTATCGTCATCGTAATGGTTGACGAAGCTACAAAGAAAACTCTTGCTGCGATTCCACTTCTCAAAACAAGAGCTGGTCCTCTAGATGGAGACATGTGGATACAAAGGCTCAAGGAGGAGTACCAAGCCTTAATAAAATACGTGGAAAATAACAAAGCAGCAGACAACGATTGGTTTCGCATTGAATCAAATCAACTTGGGACTCGTTGGTATGGAAAATGTTGGTAAGCTCATTAGTTTTTGAGTCTTTTTGCAGGTATATACAAGATATGAAGAAGTATGAGTTCGATTTGAACTTCGATATACCTGTTTCATATCCCAGCACTAACCCAGAACTTGCCTTGCCTGAGCTTGATGGAAAAACAGCGAAAATGTATAGGGGCGGAAAAATATGCCTTACGGATCATTTCAAACCCCTATGGAGTAGGAACGTCCCTAGATTCGGGATCGCACATGCAATAGCACTTGGTTTGGGTCCTTGGTTGGCCGTAGAAATACCTGATTTGATATCAAAAGGAATTGTTAAACACAGAGATGATCAGTAATATATGTATTCACATACTTAATTTGATATACTGACATTGTTTTTTTATTGTGGCACATAAATTGGCTTTTGTAATAATTTATATGAACTCAGTTTTAGGGATTGATAGCTCATAATTCAGCACTAACATTCAAAAGATCGCCTTCATCAGCAAAATGGTCTTTTGTAATTGCAAAACAAACCAACGACATTGCTTTGATTTCCTTGCATATGTTTAGCACTACATGATAATTTTCTTGTCCAATGTATGAAGAAGCCTATTAATTTCTAAATGCCTTTTTCCATGTATCTAGTAAGACATGTTTTAGTCTAAACGCGTCGTAAGTTGAACTAGGGTTCGGTTGCTACATCCTCAAAGGTATTACTGATATTTTAACTAGGTAAAGTTATTTATCACATTAGTCATAAACTTCAGACTACCAAAAGTCGTGCTTTCGTTAGTGGTAATAGACTATAGATAGTTACTGTGCTATTTATTATTGAGATTTCCGATTAGTCTAAATCAGCATGAATCATCGTCTAACTACTTTATTATTTAATCCATTATTGTCTTTTATGTCTGACTGTACACTAAAAAGTACATACTTTCATGTGGCCTTTTGATCACACACTCCAATCTGTTTACATGGGTGCTCAGATACTTGATTATTAACTGGTCTTACTGTTGAGACCCACTTTTCACGTAATTTATGAGGAGTAAATTCAATCCACAGAAACGCTTGTCTGAATTCAACGGAATATATTCGAGGCAATTTTCATACTATGTATATCATTCGTTTTGATAGCCGTTATTAAATAAATCCTCATCGGTGTATAGATTTCAGAAAACTACGAAGTAACGAGTCCAGTTTATTATCGTATGTCACATCAAAAGGTCAATAAAACGAAGCGAAGACGAATAAATGAATACGACTTAATAAGCACATGTGTATATAAGCAAGTAAATGAGTCGTTGAACGATTTAAGCTAGTATGAGGAATTTGTGTGTGGTCTATATTACGTGATTACTCATGCAAGCATGATAATAACATAAAGTTATACACAGATTATTAACGACCTAGTTGCACTGTCCATTAAATCAAATAATTAAAGGTCTTAGTAAATTTAAAATTTAACTCAAGTGTAGGTCAGGGGGCTATATTTTAAAGCATAAATAGTTACCAAACATTGTTCAGTGTATATTTTGGTCTTTGAAACAATCACAAAATAATTATCGAGGTCGAACACCAACAGTGACCGTATGTGCATATTGTGATGAAAAATTAATATTAGAAACTTTATCAAGCCTAATGATCCACACAACCAGGCATTCAAATAGCCATATAGATAGATTATATATACATAACATTTGATTTGCCTCAATTTCATGAGTTAGTCTTTTCGGGGATAATAACCCTGTCTTAGTAATACTTTCGAGAACTAGAACATATTCAGTCAAGTATGAGTATTTTGAAGGAGTTTAAAATACTGCGAAACCATAAACCGCATAAATTACTCAGTTACTATTTGATATTACTAATATTTCAGTTAAAAAGGAACCAAAACACAACTTATTAGTCAACAAAATAAGGAGACTTCATTATCCGAAGAAAGTCGTTGTAGCGTAACGTAAGTGCATTAGCTTAAGTTCTATTTATTTCTCCCGACCGCTAGTGAACAAACCGATTTTCAAAAAATTACATCTGTCTGAATATAACATCTTAAAATGTGTGGTGTGTGTACTAATTGCAAAAATCCTATTAGATGACACAGCATATAACCAGTGAAATATTTCTAAACCTGTCAAGACGAATAATAAACAGTATAACGAAACGGTGCTATGTCATAGAGGTGAAGAACTTAGTATTTGAAAATATGAAAGGTTTATTTGGTTGCAATTGTGTTGTATACTGTTATGCTTGTGTGCAAAATTTCGTACAGAAAGACAAACCAATTTTAAATTCCTACCTATTCAATTGACTATAGCGTGTCACACATTAGTTAATGTTCATTCTGGCAGACTGTTATTGTAAGAATACGCCATCGATGGAGTCATTCATGTTCAAAAACTAAATTCAGCGTATTAAACATCTGATAATAGAAATCCGTAATGGGAGACCCCAGGCGGCTTTGTAATAAACTGATCAAAATATTTAATGCTTCATATGATGTTCTGTTGCACTAAATTTATTCGTTTTCTTCTAACTGTGAGAACTTTAACTGCTGCAATTTCGTTCCTGGTTCATTTTGTTTGGTTTTTCGGTTGTCATTTGGTTAACAATTAATTGTTGCTACTAAGTGTTTTGTCTTCACTTTCCTCAAATGACGATAATTTTTTTGGGGAAACGAGTAAAGAAATCAAGAACTACTTCAGTGACGTTTATACCGACATTATTTCCACAAAAATAATGACGCTCTGTCTAACTGTCTAGACAAACGAAGGACTAAAACAAATATAGTCAGACACTAACCATTCTGCATGTTACAAAAAACAACGCCATTTTCAACTGTTGTTGACAGTAACCAGACACAACACCTCGTAAACTCAATACCGCATAGCTGCAGACACATGATCACGCGGTGAAACTAATAAGCTCTAACATGACATAAGTAACCCGCCTACATAATCATTCGGCATATGAATGACTGTAAGACTGGCTGACCCACAATTTTGACCATCTTTCATCACTGTGTTTTTATACTATTCTTGTAAGTGGCTCACATTCAGTCCTTTATCATTTTTTCGAAAAACCCTGTTAGCTAGCTTTCTGTTGTAATAGGTAGTTGACAGTTTTCTAATATTAATTTGATGCCAATCATTGTATAAAGTATTTATTATTCTGGTCCAGGCAAATTGCTTCATTGGACGGATAAATACATCTCCACACACACCGCTATCGAAATAGTTACAGTGATATCCAACCCTTCATTGACTTTAAGTATGAGTTACTAGCAGACGAATAATTGACATGTTAACACACTGGAAATACTGCTTAATTAGTTCAGGACGATTATTGATGTGTTATATATTGCAGTTTTACTAGTTGTTCACCAAAACTATATTCATTATTGGCATTAATATGAGATTACAGTCACTTCAGTGCTGTTTTTATGCGCTTGTTGGAGTTCATCTATATCCATGACCAGATTAATAATAAGTACTCAGTCGATAGGCACCTATTCTTATTAACATATAGCAATACGATCAATCCCCATCTACTGCCCGCATGATGAATCTTTAGTTCAGGTGCTGCTTTAAATTTCTGTGTAACTGTTACATTGATGTGGTGATCGGGGTTGCATACCGGAATGACCCGATCGAGCTACATTGGCTGGAACACTTGCTCCTTTATATCCTTCCACGTTGGAGAACAGTAAAACTAGAAGGAGCAAATTAAAGTCGTACTGTTTCCTTCAAGCAACCAACATCTGCAGCCATGCTGCCTTCTCATAACAGAAGGGGCTAAAGACAATCGACTATAAAATTGTCACACTTCACCTTACCCCATGGTTTTCCGTCTCCGGTGGTTAAGCTCTTTGGAAAATGGAGCCAACACATTGGAAACTTCTCGTAGGATGGTTGTATGTGACAGACCCCAAACAGTTGTTCGTTGGGCTGTGTGGTCATCTTCCCAGATCACTTCGACGATTAATCTGGTCCCTCTCCCAAGTATCCCACAAAGATATATCCTTCTCTGGTGTAGAGGTCCGGGAAGTGACAATCATCCTCATACCTCTAACAACGCGCGAGATCACTTCATTCATGGACAAGCCACATCATCATCTGTCTCAATAAACTCAACTGAACCTAACTTAATCAGTGACTATTTAATGGAAACTACAAGTTGACAGCTGTAAGGATTTATATTGACGACTCTCATACAATACGAAATTTCTTGGGATTGATGAACAACGTACCCTCCGAGTAATTTCCAACGTACTGGACTTGTATTTGGAAATCACTTCCACTCTAGCTAAATAAATACATAACACCTGCTTTCTATGAAAATATCCTGTCTCTTTCTATTATGATATACGTTAAACTCAAAAGTTTTTAGAAATATATATACATGTTTGCCTTAGTTACTTGTAACTCATGGATTAATAACCTTCAACATAATTTTGGAAATTTGGTTAATACAGTGGTAGCGTATACCCTTTTCTAGGGAAAACAGCTGTAGTGAATTAAAACACGAGTGGGGACAATAGAATGTATTTGACCACAAAATTACAGAGCATCTCACTAAAGTCTGAGAACCATCCAGTAAATGCTTAATTTACAAAAGATCAATCAGTTGTCTCAAACTTGACTTGTCCTTTTACAAACATCGGTCAATTGTCTCAGGTTTCATTGTTCGTGCATTTTCATCCCGATTGCTTTCCGTTTCCATTCTATTCCTTACTATCGTTACATACTACTTATGTGTATATAAGTAGCGCACACCACACAGCGTAGGGATGAAGTTGTATGTGCTTCACGTCGAATTATATGCTTCAGAATTAAGAAACTTATCAATATTTTATCAGTTCCTGATAGTCACATTATACAATTCAGATGTATATGTTCACTATTAGAATAAATATTAACATTAATTAGTGAAGAATTTTAAATTACTTACGTCGATGTTATGTAAAGCCCATTCATCAACCACAGAACCCCACAACCCAAAGCTTAATGTGGTACTAAATAAACATGTGGTTCAGTAGGTGGTAGATTAGTCAGAATTACAACAGCCAAATCGACTTAATTGAATGGTCAGCCTCTTTAGTTTGGTTGTTAACGAACATAATGAGTAACAAGTGGCTACATCAGTCGGTCAGTCAGCAACAACGTAGAACTTCGTACGTACGTACATCATTTCGAGTTGTCATACCACACTAGCACACCGATACAGTAGTCGGGAAGACTAGGGTTTGAAGATGTTATTCAAGGAGTATAATCCAGTGAAACAAGTTTGAAAAGAGAAAAAGAAAGGGACGTGAAGCATTCAAAAGATAAGAATTTTGGAGGACACAAAGAGTGGATGCACCTGCACCATAGCAAATGATTTTGAGCCATGTCATTCAAGGTCTCTAACCATCGGTTGCTATCGTCTCGTCGATCCCAACCAGGTAGTCTACACCTACCAACATGGTTCAGTTCACTTGTCAGTTACTTTGTGGATTTGAACCATGTTTTGATCTGGTCACCCTTAGCTTTCTTCCAACCTACTCCTATACCAATGAAAATCGCACACCGAGGCAATCGGTCGTTGGGCATACGTAACACGTGTCCCAGCCATCTCAACTGATGAAGTTTCACCACTTCATTAATTGATTAGCCATCCTTACCTAGTACCCGTTTCCTAACAAGTGCATTACTTACTCG